ACTCCTATCGGGCGCCACCTGTGTTGGTAGACGCAGAAGGGAACACGCGCTTCCTTGTTGGAAGGCTGTTGGCCCACCGGTTTGTGAAGCGAAAGCTCCAAATCCTTGTCCAGTGGAAGGGTTACCCAACGAGCTTTGATTCGTGGGAGCCTGTGGACGCTTTGCGCGTTGACGTGCCTGGGCTGGTGGCTGCTTATGTGAAGCAGCACCAGCTGTCTTCTTTTTGCTAGGTCCGGAAGAACTAGCAGAAGAAGCGTGGCGAGAATCAATTGGGGGTCGCTTACCACCCATTAATTCATGCGCACGCTTCATGGCGAAGATGATTCGCTGCGACCGCTGTTTAGTTGCATCTTCATGCAAGGTAACACGGCGCCGAAGTTCAGCTTCATAGTCGTCGGCTGTTTCGTCAGAACGCAGCACGACTAGAATTGGGAAAGCACGACCAAGTGCTTTGCCCTGCTTTTTCCACAAAGGAAAGACGCTATAAAATTTATAAGCGTCTATAGTGTCACGCTGCAAAATCGCTGCGCTAGACCCATCCGAGTTCATCCACTCAGATGGAGGTGGCATTGGTGGCAAGCCACCACGCCCTCGCGACGGCGGGCTAGTGAGGCCACAGGTGTACTCGGTGGAGCTTTAAGCTCACACTCACCTGAGTCTGACTCTCCATTATGGATTGTCAAGACATCAGCTTGAGAAGTTACATCTGACTGAGTCGCGACTACTCCTTTCGAAGTAGCGTGCTCATTCTTAGTCGCTGCGCTCGTAGGCGCAGGCGACGAGGCTTTACCTTCGCTTGTAGGAAGCATAGATGCTTCCTCAAGGACGGGTGCCTCAAATGATGGGGACATATGTCCCATCAATGCGCTTTGCTCATCTCCACTTTGGGATGATGGCAGTGGTGTAGTATCATTGTAGTCTACAATGAGAGATGGATCTTCATCCACATTATCGTGAGATAGAAGATTCACCCCAGTGCCTGACGCACTTTGCGACGGCTGCGATAAATCGCGGCGCGTGCGCTTAGTGCTGGACTGCATGGGCGCCTCTGCAGGCGACCCATCAGCCTTACCACGTTTCGGTGGCATGAGAATTGAGTAGACTAAAGCGGCGCGTTTATAACGGCTCGTAGTCTCTCTGTCTCCTAGGCGATGTTTTACAAAATGTAAACATCGTTCTAAAACGGGGGATGGTGTAACAGGGCATTTAGTTACACGTAAAAATTAAGTAATATACTTAATGTTTGGTCTAAAAGTATCCATGATTACTTTTGACCTGTCACTTGGGTGCGATACACAAATGTGATCCACCCTCGTGAATGTGATATCCATTTATGGATTCACATGGGAAGGGATGACGCTAGTTGAAGCTAGGCATCACGACGTCTCAGAAGGACGTCAGTTGCGATCTTAAATCTAGATTTAAGATCATGCGACAGGATACGCTTCTAAAGAGTCGCGTATCCGATCTATATATATAAACATATATATATAGCCAATCAGTAGTTAAATATATATTTAGTTATAATTAATTAAATATAGCTCAGTCTTGAATTTACTTAGACATACGCACCACGCACGAGAAGTTGAAAGATTCTGCGTGACGTCGGTGCTTTCGTGTTAAGAAGTTCGTTGCACTCTCGCTTAAGCGAGAGGCAACTGGTGGTACGACTGCTTAAGCAGTCGACCAACCACATAACCACCCTCGCACGCGAAGGTAAGACGGTGTAACCGCTTCCTCGCTTGTGCATAAGGTGTGTGCTCGTAGTACGAGGAAACTTCGTAGAAGTGCCCGTCTACAATGTCAAGATGCATATGGTGTTCATCCGCTCCGTCCACCATCTTATGATGGTACCACGCAGCGACCGTATCTCTCGTCTGATATGTCAAGTTATCGTAAAATAGCTAATTAGGTAAGTACCTGTCAAGGGTCTTCCACTGAAACCTCAAAACCTTGACAGCCTGTAAGAAGCAATATTTTCTCACAATTCACTTTGACGTCATCCTGCATGGCCTTCAACTTGAACATAACGCGCAGGCTGCCACAGGTATTGCCTTTGTCAACGGATACGCAAACACATTACTAGACTTGACAAAAATCTTTTGCACAACCTTAGCTTAAGCGTAGTGGCAGTTAGACTTGGAACGAATGTCGACTTGCTTCGCGCTTGAAAACTCTTCTCGCATTCCAGTAGCTAGATCGTGGCTTGATTGTCTACAAGAGCATTAATTAACAACCTTCATGTCCAGCTCGCCAAACAGTTTATTGAGCCTTAAAACTTACGACCAACTTTTGACGCAGTAATTACCTCCGCCTCGATGATGCCAAGCGATCCTGCCTGCCTTTTGCATGCCCACGATAGCACACACTCTGACATCGAATTTCGGTCCAATTTGTCCGCGGCAAAGTCCGCGTTGCTTCAGCTTTTGATCTTGATTAAGTCCCCTGGTTGATTTTTACAGTTAACGCATAATTTATAGGACTTCGCAAAAAACATTTGACGACATCGATAGAGATTCCGGTGACCAATAAGTCGTCGACACTGTTCAATAAGGTTGCTATACGGCCTGAAGCAAGCCAAGAGCCTTTAAAGTAAGCCCTTGCACACAAAGTTGGTCTTTTTGGCCTTTAGATAGTATTCGACAGACATTTGTCAATTCGTCAGATATCGAGAAAGATGTTATTGTATAGAGCAAGATGTTTCGTATGCTTAATTCTACCTGGACCTTAAGCGATGTCGTCGAATGTTTTTTCGGGAGCATGATGTCGCTCGAGATAAATGATTTGGATGTCGTGAACAACATTCTGGATATACGTATAAGTTGGAAAACGATGCTGGGTATATGCTGGATCAAGAAATGAAAGTTGACTGTTTGTTGAAGGGCCGAGGTTTGGGATCGGCGAACGCACTACACGCACACACCTTCGGGCACTAACGAGAAAGAGGTAAGACCGTCTTTTTTCGCGTGCAGCGAGGCATCTGGTAAGCCCCTAGGCGACTTCACACAACAACCGAGGTACTTCTCACTAGTGGCGTCGCGGAAGCAAAAACTATATTTGCACCCCCCCCAATTTTAGATATATGCACCCCCCCCCTTTAATCAGACATAGACTATTAGTGAATACCTTGTCGATAAAATCAATAGCCTTATAGTGACTGTCTACTTTCATTTACAAACTTTGCATGCCTACAAACTCTCTCGCATTGGACTATGCCGCTCTTACTATGTCGCAACCCTATGCCGCACAGCTTCCAAGTTTTTGATATATCGATGCCGATACTCGAGCTTGAGCGGTTTAAATGTACGAGTCAACTCATGGCCTAGGTCACGCAACCGCGTTTCCTCCTCTTGCTGCGTGGTGTTACTTTTTGCCACATTTCTTATGCTTGAGACGTCTTCTTTTTTTCGCTTCCACTTCATTACGCGCATGACTGTCAAAATTACTCTGCAGAGCTTGACTTGTATGAGAAAGTTAATACCCATCCAAAATTTGCGGATCGAACACAAGCAGTTGAACTACTAGCTATAAAAAAGAATGTAGCGCTTAATTAACAGCAATGATGTTTTCAGCGAGGACTTTGCGATTCTCCACATCGAATGCAAGTTGACATTCGTCGCGCGTTAGCAACAAGATTACTATACCGAAATGTCAATTTCTCTGTGCACGATGATAGCTTCAGCTTTGCAATTTATTACTCGGTTCTTGTAAAGATACTCAACAGCAGGCAGATGACCGTTCTCCGCGTCTGCGATATTGATAGTTTATGTGGCGGCGAAATGAGATTCATGTTTAGATATTTCACCACATCAAAAAACCTTTTGCTGCCGCGTTAGTGATCACAGCGGACGTGCCTTCCATGGAAAAACACTATAAAACACACTTCATTACAGCCATACATCCTTGCTTCGCTGCAGCGTCCATTACAGCGGTGGTGCAGCCCCAGACCATTATTTATGTAGCTCGAGCTACATCCACGTGACTTTTACTGTAATGGGCCACATTGCATATATAGCATTAAAAAATAAACATTAACATGTGTAGGCAGATGCTGTACCCGAATAGCGGGCACAGCGTGGCAATTTATTATTGGTTTATTTTTGGAGCCTTAAGACCCAATAGACACCAATGATAAATTAACCTGAAAATGTGTGGTTCCCGAAAGGCGGGAACACTGTCGTATTTATTACGACTTAAAAATCTTCGTAATTAGTACAAATTAAAACAAAATAGAGATTAGTTAAATTCCCTTAATACCTAATGCTTGGGCTTGGGTCTTCCTCAAGCGCACGTGTGAGCTAGTGACGGTACGTTCTAGCCCCGTTACACATATACTTAACAGACTTGAGTAATTATTGGCCCGTTACAATCACTGATGATAAATGGCTCAATCTGGATGGACCAGGTGGATATCAAAGCTATTAGCACGACTTGAGGAAAGAAAAGCAGGTATTTTCGACTCGTTAATCCGGTGGTGGCTCCGTCATGGAAGGGGTGCCTTTGGAGGTGCTAAGACAGGCATGTTGGCTATCTTAGAAAAGAAGCACAACAGCGAAAAGCACACAAGTACACTGGAAACTATCACGTGCCTTTTGTGGACGATCTGGGTGGTGATGGACTGAGGTTTTGGCAGGATAACGCGTCGATACACACATCTCGGTATACGAAGGCGTGGTTTGCGGACTAAACTTTTTCTGTTCTCGACTGGCCAGCGAATTTCGCGGACTTAAATCCAATCAACAACTTATGGGGCTTGCTAGTATTTCACCGCTGAATGCATGTTGGACCGGCGAATGGCATTATATGATAAAGGCCAATACCTGAAAGGACATGACGTTATTAACGGACACGTCAGTAACGTAGCTCTGATGAGATAGATGCAGCTCAAGGTAGTGAACTAAGGACCAAATATATTTACTTCACAATTTGCCTTCTTCTACCTTAATCACTTTAACAGGTTATTAGCCGCAAGACGCTCAAGAACAACTCCCGCCGCTCCCATGTCTGCGAAGAAGGCTGAAGTCATCCTCGAGAGCGACAATTACTTTCACTGGGAGTTCGTCATGCGAATGACACTGGCGAGAAAGGGACTGACAGCGCCCATCCAGATGGTCAAGCCTGAAGCTGAAATGATTGAGGCATGGGTGATAAACGACATGAACGCACTGTGACTGATTGCTTAAGGCATTGAGGTGGAGAATTATACTAATATTCGGTCGGCAACGACGACTGTCCAGGCATGGATTACGCTCCGTGAGTTCTACAATCGCACGACCATGCACAATGTAGTGACGATGACCCTCCACCTTCATGATTTAAGGTGGACGACGGCGTGACGATGACCCAGCATCTGGAAAAGTTCGATGAACTCATTGTTGGTATCCAGTCTCTGAGTGAGCCGATTGACAAAGCGTGACAGCTCGGTTTTTTTCTCAGCAGTCTGCCTGCAGAGTACGAGATCATCGCGTCGATCGTGGAGAACGCCAAGGACGTCACGCTTATTGAGGTGACGGAGAAGCTGCTCAAGGAGTATGAGCGACAGGACAAGAAGGAAGCCACGGAACTCGCGCCAAAGGATACAACGCATGGGGTCAAATTGAAGAACGCAAGGTTCGACAAGGGTGGAAGGAACATTGGACGCAAGGACAACGTCTCGAAAAAGCGAAGTGGGTTCAAAGGCAGGTGCTTCAAGTGTGACAAGTTTGGTCACATGAAGCGGGACTGCCCGGACATGAAGATGCCTGGTAAAGATTACTAGGTCGCTGTCTTCGCTTCTGGGGAGAGTCGATCATCAGGTTGGCTGATCGACAGTGGTGCGACGGCACACATGACGCCGTACCGAGAAGACTTGTTCGACTACAAGAATATGGAGACAAGCATTGAGGTGGCCACCGCGGATGGAGAGAAGATCCGTGTGGTAGGAACCGGGTCGGTGCGCTTAACAGGGCATTGACGGTAAGCGCATATCGGAAGTAAGACGTCCTCCACATTCCTGGCCTGGATCGACGAGTACTATCGGTCGGAAAGCTTACAGAACGCGGGCTCAATGTTGAGTTCGAGCGCACATCATGTATCTTTTGGAATAAGAACCTAGTAACCGCCTCGAAGAGGAAGGTCGGCAAGGTCTACATGCTGGAATGTCAGCAGGAAACGGCGCAATACGTGGCTATCTGGACGTCGATAGCAAGTATGATCTTTGGCACGCTCTTATGGGTCACTTGAACAAGGACGCGCTGGCAAATACGCAGAGTGTGACGACTACTATTCCCACTATAAGTTTCAAGACGAAGGCGCTATGCAGTGTATGCTTGAAAGACAAGCAAAAGGTGACGGAATTCCCATCTCATTCACAATCGAAGACGTCCCGTGTTCTGGAACATGTGAACACAGACGTACTGGGACCGAAGAGGACGAAATCAAAAGGTGGCGCGAAGTATGTGCTTACGACTACTCGAAGTACGTTGTGGCATACTTCCTTGAGTAGAAGAGCGAAGTGGCGAGAAGGTTTGAGTCTTTTAAGACCATGTACGAGAATCAATGGGGAGAGCGCATCAAGTGTCTACGCTCTGACAATGGCACTGAGTTTGTGAACAAGGTCATGGATGAAATTTGTCAGCGTAACGGTATTGTGCGCCAGAAGACTGTGCCATACAGCCCTCAGCAATATGGAGTGGCTGAGCGGATGAACCGAACAATAATAAAGAAGGCACGGAGCATGGTGCACTGCAAGGGTTTATCTTCTTCCTGGTGGGAAGAGACAATTAGCACGGCAGTGTACTTTATCAACCGGACAACAAACAGCACACACACTGACGCGACTCCATACGCGATAGGATTTAAGATGAAGCCTCGACTGGATCACTTGCGAGTGTTTAGATCAATGGGTTATGCTCATGTCGAAGACGCTAAACGTACCAAGATCGAGTTAAAGAGCTTTAAGTGTATGTTCCTTGGCTATGGGGACAATACGAAGGGCTATCGCGTCTATGATCTGGAGCCGAATAAAGTCAAGATGTCAAGATCAGTGAAAGTCGACGAACGCGAGGTGAATTGGATTTATAGCACGTCGATGACGGGGAGGACTGAAGTCATCAACATGATCAAGGACATCGACGAAGTGGCTCAGAGGCTGAATCTGAGAAGTAATCTCCTGTGTAGGATGAACCAATGGAGTCAACAGCGTACCCATTTGAAGACGTCGAGATGCAAGAAGATGGACATGAGCCTATGTCATCAGAAAGAGAATTAACGACATATCATCGGTACATGAGTCAACAGCAAACGGCGACATGTTTTTTTCAGGCCCGAACGGGAACGATCTCGATGTTCAAGAGAACCATCTCTTCTTCTTAGGAATGGATTGATTATGGCTGACGAGAACACGATGGATAGCGAAGATGATCCTGACAATGACAATCCTTTCTATTCGCCGTCACCCAAACGACCTCGTATTGATAAAGACAACCTGCTTGCAGAAGCTGTACTAGCATATGCGGCACATATTGATGATGCAGATAATGCACCGACGACATAACAACACGACATGGACAGCGAAGAATCAAGGAATGGGTGAAGGCTATGAGCGCTGAGCTTAAAGCTCATTCGGAGAACAGTTCATGGAGGCTTGACTCGAAGATGAAGAACGTCCGAACGGTCGGATGTAGATGGGTATTCGCTAAATAGCACTACGAGCACGAACAGGTGGTGCGGTACAAGGCCCGATTTGTCGCAAAAGGGTTTAAGCAGAATTTCGGTGTCGACTTCTTTGAGACGTAATCACCCGTAGCAACCATGAACTCGATCAAGGTCGTGCTGGCTGTGGTGGTGGTGAAGGTATACGTGACCAAACAGCTGGGTGCAGATACGGCATTTCTGAACAGTAATCTCAAAGAAGAGGTATACATGGAAGTATTTAATGGCATAACAAATGCTGAAAAGATGATGTGCAAGCTGGACAAGGCAATCTACGACTCAAACAAGCTGCGAGTGCATGAAAAAAGACTATCCATGCTGTGTTTCTGCAGATTGGTTTTCGAAGCAGTGGAGCAGATCAGTGTCTATGTCAAGGTCAACAATGGCAACTTCGTCTATGTGTGTCTTTACGTCGACGACATGATCATCGCCGCCAAGACCAGTAGAGAGATCCAAGAAGTCAAGACAGCACTGAAACATTCGTTCAAGATGAAGGAGCTGGGCAAGGTCAAGCTTATTCTCGGTATGGAGATCAATAATGATCGCAACGCCAGTACGCTGAGGATTCGTCAGACTCGCTATATCGATGACGTGGTCTGCCGGTTTAACCAAGATGAAGTCAAGGCAGTGGTCAACCCATGCGAGTCTGGATTGAAGCTGTCAAAGATGCAATCACCAGCGACGGACGCTGAAAAAGAATAAATGAAGTTAAAGCCGTACAGGTCGTTGATTGGATGTATGTTGTACATCACAACATGTACGCGACCTGATGTGGCGTATACAATCACACAGTTGTCACGTTTCTTGAAAATCGGAGGTCAGCAACATTGGAAGGCTTCCATTCTTGTTATTCGATATCTCAAAACAACAAGAGACTACGGCATAATCTAAGACGGCAGCGCAAGCGAGGTTCAAGCAACAGCATACACGGACGCGGACTGGGGAAGCAACATCGGCGATCGACGCTCGGTGTCATGATGATTGGTGGCGCACCTGTCGTATTCAAGTCCAAGTACCAGCGCATGGTGGCATTGAGCTCGGCAGAGGTGGAGTACATGGCTGTAAGCTTTTGTACCCAGGAAGTACTGTGGGTCCGCGCGATGCTTAAGGATCTCGGTCATGAGCAAGTGGGAGCGACTTTGGTCTATGAAGATAATCAAGGTGCGATTGGACTTGCAAGTAACTCAGGATTGTACAATGCCAGGACCAAGCACGTCGACATCCGTCACCACTTTATCCGGGAGAATGTGGCTCAAGACATTATTGTGGTCAAGTACAAGTCAACGGTGGACCAGCTGGCAGACATGTTGACCAAGGCACTAGGGACCAAGCAAGTCAAGTACTTGCTCCAAGCAAGTGGTATCGGACCGAGGCGCAGTCAGCATAAGCGGTGAGTGGGAGTGTTAATATTAAACCGCTGAATGCATGTTGGACAGGCGAATGGCGTTATATGATAAAGGCCAATACCTGAAAGGACATGACGTTATTAACATACATATCTAGATGACATCAGTAACGAAGCCCTGATGAGGACAGGCTTTGATGCAGCTCAAGGTAGTGAACTAAGGACCAAATATATTTACTTCACAATTTGCCTTCTTCTACCTTAATCACTTCGACAGCTTACAAGGACCGTATAAAAGAATGGGCAGCAGTTTTGGTCGCGAACTGAACAGATCGAGATCATTTAAAGTGCTGGGGAGAAATTGGCGCTGCTTGCCTTCCAAAAGCTTGCTAATTTCAATGCATAGCAGGTGCGTGGAAGTTCCGAAGAACCGTGGTAACAAGATTGACGATTAGGGGCTCCTCGCAACGCTAACATCGAGGCGACAATCAAAAATGTTTTTGGTGGCTCTATCATTTTGTCCTACGCTTCCCGCACTGTAGGACAAAAGTGAAAGAGCCACTAAGCAACGCCACGCTTTATATATTACCTTCACGGCGTTGTTTTGAGTCCGTTTGCTTTTATTGCAATGCCTACTTGCTGACTCTACTATATATGATCTCTTTTAGCAGTAATATGCCGGAGACAAGAAATTGACGGAGAAGAGATAGGAAAGGTGATAGCCAACCATGACACAAAATAATGATTCATTAAGAGATTGCCCGGCGCATCGGTTGATCTCGAAGCGTCATGAAACACTACGTAGACGACCTCATCGCCTATAGTGCGTACAAACTAGCCGGACGACCAACAATTTTGACTGAAATGGCTCGCCATCGACTACTCCGTGCCGCTCATGGGGTCACTTATCTGCACAGGACCTCTAAGCGCAGCTGGAACTCCCTGTAAGTGTTTCTAGAGTCAAGCAGATTTCAAAAGAAAGCCCTACGCTCAAGTTTCTCAAGCGTAAACATGCACCAGCGCTTACCGAAAGGCACAAAACAGCTGTGTCAAATGGTGTTGCTGAGAGAAGCCTTCACTCCGATGACGACTGGGCAAATTTTCTCGGGCGATTCAACAAGGATGAGAATCCATCAATGGATATCACATTCACGAGAGTGGATGCCTCAGGTCTAAGGTATATCGTACCCTTTTAGAATTTCCCGGTTAAGCATCATATACTTAACGGACTCGTGTAATTATTGGCCCGTTACAATCACTGATGATAAATGGCTCAATCTGGATGGACCAGGTGGATATCAAAGCTATTAGCACGACTTGAGGAAAGAAAAGCAGGTTTTTTCGACTCGTTAATCCGGTGGTGGCTCCGTCATGGAAGGGGTGCCATTGGAGGTGCTAAGACAGGCATGTTGGCTATCTTAGAAAAGAAGCACAACAGCGAAAAGCACACAAGTACACTGGAAACTATCACGTGCCTTTTGTGGACGATCTGGGTGGTGATGGACTGAGGTTTTGGCAGGATAACGCGTCGATACACACATCTCGGTATACGAAGGCGTGGTTTGCGGACTAAACTTTTTCTGTTCTCGACTGGCCAGCGAATTTCGCGGACTTGAATCCAATCAAAAACTTTGGGGAGTGCTTACTAGGGCCGTATACAAGAATGGGCGGCAGTTTTGGTCGCGAACTGAACAGATCGAGATCATTTAAAGTGCTGGGGAGAAATTGGCGCCACTTACCTTTAAAAACTTGCCAAGTCAATGCATAATAGGTGCGTGGAAGTGCCGAAGAACCGTGGTAACAAGATTGACTATTAGGGGCTCCTGGCAACGCTAACATCAAGGCGACAACCAAAAATGTCTTTGGTGGCTCTATCATATTGTCCTACGCTTTCCGCTTTAGTGATGTTTTTAAGGCTGTTGGCTCAAAGTAAGGTCGCAAAATGATCCTCTTGTCCAGCGTGACCTTTGGTCATAATATATCTTTTATTTGATTTATTTGGTCAATAAGTTGGAAAATGTTATCTTTAAGAAATGTAACGATCAAACTGCAATATTTGTCTAAAATTATTCAACAATTATCTCATATCCATTACAATTGGCACAGGCGACGCAATTGCCGAGTAGCACATAGTGTGACAAATTTTGTGCTAGCTCTACACTGTCTTCATTTGAGCTACCTTGCTCACTGTGATATCAAGCTTAAACACTTGATAGCTAATGCAGTGCTGATGTCAACGGTAGAGCTGAGCGCATGCGTCGACCTCCGATGTATGACCCAAGTTTACAAAAATGCAATGCTAGATGAGCCTCTCGAATTGTTGAATGGAGATGCCAACTGCTATCAAAGCATTCATCTGTCACGATGTATGCGCTGCTGTTTGGATCATTGTTACTACGTAAGCAATATGAGTGGACTGCTCGATAAGATTGAGCAAGAACGACAAGGCACGCTAAAGATGACGAGCTGTGCTGAACGAACGATTAACCTTGAACTCCATCATGTAAAACACCAAATTAATAACTGGGTCGACTCCTTCTTATGCATTTCTAATTGCAATTTCTGCAAGTTCTTCGACATCTTCATAGCCCATTGGAGCTGGTCTCTTGCCGAGTGCACACTGAATTCGCTCCTTAATCTTGGATGTGACAGCGTGTTTCTTCTTGCGACGGCCACAGGCATTACCGCTTACTCGCTGTGTCCGCTCTTGGTCCTTTAGTACACCCTGGCTCAGCTTTTTCATCTCGAAAAAGTCCCGTACGCAAAAGATTGTCACTGTTTCGCCGTAGTCTAAATATTCAGAATGAAAATCATAAATAAGTGGCATACCGTCATCAATGTGACAATCATTCTCGTACAGTGGAAATTCGTCTCTCGAAACTCATTTTTTAACACATGTTTCTTGTATCGGGCGGGTTCGGGCTTTTCTATCTCTGTCAAAAATTGCACCACTAATTGTCAATCACCTCATTTGACTTCATAAATGTATGATCATAATGTAGCCATGTACCTTTTGGATGGGTGGCGCACACTTGAGAACGCGTGAAACAGCACTTCTTGCAGGCTAGATTCACGCAGTTTGCAGCCACTTGCTTTTTGTTTGTGCAAAACTGGCAAGTGCGCGTTGCTATTGTGGCTGCCTCGGTCTTCACGCGCTTCACGGGCGGCTCGTCCTCCACGACGTCCTCAGGCATAGTTTTTTTACCGGTATTTGGCGGTGGGCTCTATTTTTCATTATAGTGACTAGTGGCAGTTTGTTAGTAACATTTGCTATAAGCCTCTATAAATCAATACCGATTTAGCCTGAATCCCTTTCGAACGTTATAAACACTCTAATAATTGTTATTACAAAAGAATGGTGACGCTGCACGTAAAGACGACGGCGGGGAAGAAGTTCTCGGTGGATCTGGCGCTCGAGAGTTCCGTACTGCAATGCAAAGAGGCACTTGTGGCATCGACGGAGGTTCCTATCGCTCTCCAGCGTCTCATTTATAAGGGTAAAGTTCTTAAAGATGACCAGACACTCGACAGTTACGGTACGACATTTGTTGGGGGGAGTGCCGTGTTACTTAACAACTACTTAACAGCTCTAAGTATTCCAGGCATTCAAGCAGAAGACACGATCTTTTTTGTCAAGGGATCAGCACATGCACGACCGGCGACGGCTGTGCCAACTCCAGCTACTGCTCCAGTTGCTACTCCAGCTACTGCTCCAGCTGCAACTGCAGCTAACCCGTTTAATTTCCCAGGAGCTACAGGCTCAAGCAATAGCAATAGCAACTTGCTCGGCAATTTAATGGGGACTGGAGATGCAGGAGGTATGCCGGGTATGCAGCAAATGCAACAGCAAATGCTCGAGAATCCTGAAATGATGCGGCAGATGATGGAGTCACCCATGATGCAGAATATTCTCAATAATCCCGATATTATGCGCAATGTAATGCAGAGCAATCCGGCTATGCAGCAGTTGATGGAGCAAAATCCACAATTGAATCACATTATGAACGACCCGGAGCTACTGAGACAGAGTATGGAGGCGATGCGCAACCCTGCGGCAATGCGGGAAATGATGCGGAACCAAGACACAGCACTGCGGAACATTGAGAGTCATCCGGAGGGATTTAATGCGCTGCGACGCATGTATCATGACGTACAGGAGCCGCTGTTGGATGCGGCAGCTAGTGGGACACCTGCTCCTCGCGGCCCGGCATTTACAATGCCGGGCTTGGCTGGAGGAAGTAACAGCAGCAGCTCTACGGCCAATGCAACGCAGTCTCAAACGGTCAGCTCAAGTTCGACAACAGCTTCTACTACTGCTGCTGCCAATCCATGGGCAACCCCAGGTGCTGCTAGTGGTACTGCATCTACTAGTGCTTCTGCAAACCCATGGAGTGCTGCCGGCTTAAGTGGCATGGGTGGCCTTGGGGGAATGGGAGGTATGGCAGGTCTGGGCGGCAATCCTGAGATGATGGCACAAATGATGCAGAGCCCCTTGTTTCAAACAGCGTTAGACCAGGTAGCGAGTAATCCGGAGCAGTTTGTCGCGCAGATGGAGGCGATGAATCCACAGATGGCAGCAATGATGAACGCGAATCCGCAGATGCGACAAATGATGTCGAATCCCGAGTTTTTGCGCCAGGCTATGAATCCGCAGAACCTGCAGGCGATGATGCAAATGCAGAATGCCATGACTCAGTTGAGTGGGTCTGGACTTATTCCAGGGTACGTAGCTAACACTTGTTGACATTGATGAACGTGATGTGATGTTAATCCTTGGTATTGTTTCTCGTAGACTCGAAGGCATGAATCTCAATAACTCCAGTGCCGGTACAGCACCAATTACTCCAGCTACAGCGAACCCGTTTGCGATGTTTGGTGGCTTTCCTGGTGCTGGTATCGGAAGAACTCCTTCTGCTGTGCCTGTCGGCAACCCAGAAGAATTGTACGCGTCACAGTTGATGCAACTCAATGACATGGGCTTTTCTGATCGTGACCAAAACATTCGTGCGCTACAAGCGACACTAGGTAACGTTCAAGCTGCCGTCGACCGTTTGCTGAGTGGCACCATATAATACAAAGTGAGCTTTGTAGCTCGTCCTTTACCGTAAAATTGTGTTTCAAATTAGTTTTATATTCTTAATAAGGGGTTTTGGTCGTCTCCTTTATTCGATATCAAATCTCGTCCGTAGTACCCATTTTATAATGGAACATAGCAGTGCATGGGAATTGCTTCGTGCGAGCGCCACGGACGCCGATGCCGTGCGTCATTATTTAGAGTCCATTGAAACTGAAGATGTGAGTGTATAATTACATGTATTTCCACTTTCTCTCCTCGTTTTAACTCGTTCTTGAATGCTGTAGCTTGATGGATTATTGGACGGGATCGCTCTCCGTTCCATAAAGAATAAGACCAAAAGCGTCTTTTTGGTCCAAGATGATTGGTTACCATTAGTGCGACTTTTAGTCCAATGTGAAGCTACTCGTCTACGTGCTACTTCACGTATCATTCAAGTCTTACGCCTTGGAAGTCCAAGTGAATTGGAAAGTATGCAGCTATTAACTGAAGTAACTGTCGGCTATTCAAATGCTTTGGATGAGCTTCAGGATCGACATACAACAACACGACAATTGATACAGAGAAAGAAACTATTGGACGAGATTCATACGGTCATGAACATGGTGTTTTCCTTTTTGGAAGATGTTGTGCGCAGCAAAGAAAAGGGCAAAGTTCTGCCCCAATTACTCGGACTTGTGCTGTATTTTTTAGGATTAATTGGAGAAATTAGTGGACGGGAGTTTTGCACCGTCACAGAGGTCAGTTGAGATGGTGGAGGAGAGATTTTTTCTTGAGGACGGAACGCAGCTGAGAGTGTTTTTTTCTTTGTTCTTTGTTGGTAGAATTTGACAAAGTTATTGGAGATGCCGTGGAGTTATCAGACTGTACCGAGTTTGCTGAATGTGCTGGTGAATGATACATCATTGATGGGGAGAGAAAGCTGGCAGCAGTTACAGGTGTGAGCGAGAGTTAAAGAGGGTGATAAAGGCTTGGATGGGTTGATTGATGTGCAGTGTGCTGGTGTTGTTTTGGACATTAGGAGAATGTGGAGCGGATGGTGACGACGTCGCCGGAGATGGCGAGTGAGACGATGAACCCCATTCTTCGAGAGTGTCTTTTGGTGGCAAATGTAACGGGCGATCATAAGTGGATTGGCACTGCGCGTTATTTACTTCGTCAACTACCTGTGCATCTGCGGCAAGAGGCAGATTTCAACTTGCAAATGGTTTGTGTGATGAGAATGTTCGTTGACAAAGGAGTGTGAATGTTGACACACCCGCTTTTTCATCTTACAGACCTTCAACCAGTCTCCTCGTATCGTTTCGCTGGTTTGTGAATCCATTCGATCCAGCAAGAAGTCTGAAAGACATGACGTCGCTAGCAGCCAGTGTGACGGCCCACCGAGCGGCACAGCAGACCTCAAGATCGACTGGCGCGACCTTTTCCTGCTCCTTCATTCCCTTCAAGCATCAAAGCCGATTTTGCACCACCGAACTTCCTTCACTCGCGTTGCCACTGAAGCATCCGTGTTTACAGAAATTGAGCAACTTGCGTGGATAATCGTACACAGTGAGTTCAGAGCATTTGATAGTTCTGCTTCATCGACCGAAATGAGTTCGCGAGGACTGAGGAAAACTGTAGCGAAGCATGTTCTTGATCAAGTGGAACTGGTGCTGAATTTTGGTGGCAAGCAAATGTATGCTCATGAATGGAAAGCGCTGCTTTTGATGGATATTGCTTTCTTCTGGCTAGAGCAAAGTAGCCCAACTAGCGATGTCGACAAAATGGCGCTTTCAAAGTCTACATCGGCGCTTATGCTTTTACAAGCGATATTCGAGACGGTAGGCAGATTAGCCCACTTGCGCTGCTTTTGGTTTTAATTTACTCCATTTGATTTCAACAGGCACCAGAAACCCGCTCTGAAGTACTTAGTAGTTTATTCGAGCGCTCTCAACATCCAGCGCAGAGGAAGGTACGGCGATGAGAGTCAGCGCGACGAGAACGGTCCAAAGTCCTGATCAACTCGTATGCTTCTTCTGCTTACATGTAGATTGCAGGAGAAACGCTCTCACGATTAATTATTTCGCAATCAGGAAAGCTTTTCCCGCACCTCAATGCCATACAAGACTGGCTCAGGTAATGATTGTGATAAGCAATGACAATTGTGAAGTGTACTGGTCTAACGCTGTATGCCTTGTTGCATGCAGTATACAGTTTCAACGGTCATTCGACAGTGCTCGCGACTTTTTCCTTATTGCTTCCCGTCTGGCAACAGTGTATACAGGTACTCTTCTTGAACAAACATTGTGACTAATATGCTGAGGGTGGCATCTCACAACGCGTTCAATATCATATTGTGCTAGATTTTTATAATTTCTTGATGGTATTTTTGCGGAAATTGTTGTCAACTGGTAAATGGCGGCACCAACAATTTGCTGTGGACATGTGGTGTACGTGGTTAGACCACCGGCTACCTTTTAATGAGCAACAAGAAGTACGTCACTTGTTTTTGGTTGTGATCCCACATAAGGATGACCGATAGCTGACGTGTTTTGTTGTTTGCAGGAAGAGATCGTTTCTGCGCTTAAAAACAGTGTGATAGCTTTACATGATATTCAAGCTTGGTCATTTGGGCGTTTAGAGCAAGTATTTCGATGTAGCGGTGCAACAGTTGATGGACCTGCCATCTCGTTGCGGAAAAGCTCGTGGGAAGAGCTCCACAGGTTTTTCTTGCAAGAGGTTGGCAAGTTTATTCTGCCGACAATGGGTACCATCGACTTTGAGAATAAAGATCTTGAAGATTGTGCAAATGAGTACGACGACGAGGATTCAGGTTTACTGCGGTTTCGTTTCAGCTCACTCGACGCATTTTATCAGCAGAATGCTAGTCTGGATGGTGCAGCATCGACTGGGCTTATATTCCAGAAACTGCTGTCTTGCTTGCTAAAATTCGAAAAAGGCATTTTCCTGTCGAAAGTTTCGTCCGAGGGTTTATCAATCATGGGCCTCAGTGAGAACGACAGCGACATCAAACAGTGGCTTGTCGACCTGGTTTCGAATTGGAAATATTTTTTTCACTGGATTTGCCAAGATTCTGACCAGCTGCTAAATCAGTCAGCACAAGGTAGAGCATGCGAGAAGAGTACGTGGTGGAAACTTATAGCGCGCGTCTACATCGGTTGTGCTATTTGTAATATTACACTCGACATGTTGATGTGGAATTGGTCTGTTGAAAATTCTAGCGAGCGAGATACAGACAACGAGGGCCTAACCGCGTTCGATACTGATAATTGCGAGATTTCGGTTTGGTCCTTGATGGAAGTGGAGTTCAGTTTGCATCGGATGATACAGAAGCTTGTTTCACATTACGGAAATGAAATGGAAACGAATTTGTCGAAGGAGTTCGTTAGGTCGGCATCATACGGATTACACAGAGCACTTCAAGCCGCGAAGCTTAACATTTTGACAGCTATCAAGAGTACCCTTCAGGGGTCAGGAGCGTTGAAGGCAGCGGACCTGAAACGACCAAGTGGAATGTCATTTGATGCTGTTCTCTTCGCTCTAGACTCATGCTACAGCACACACGGAGACGAAGGCCTGTTCGGAGCATTATGTCCGTGGGTTAGTGAAGATGACGGGTTAAAAGAAGCAAGCTCCATTCTTGAAGTATTGCTATGCGTGTACATCAACGTTCGCGACCGCATTGTGCCAGGGTCGAATGTCTCCAGTGCAGATAACGCGAGGCTGGAAGGCAGTGCGAAGGATGAGTCTGCCTGCAGGCAGCAATTCTCTCTGTATGCAGACTCCATTTCCGCCAAATTTCCAGCATCCGCGCGGCATCTCGTTCTGCCTGGAAAAAGTGCTAAACCAGTCGTGTTGCTGGACACAAAAAGTGGAGAAGAGATGCTGGAGCACGTTTGCGCAGCAATAGGGCGAACCCTGGAGACAATGATCAAATCTACAGGTCTCCATTCAGTGCATGATAAACTTGGGCAAACATTATTCAAGCTTTCGTGGACCGATAGTCGTGAGATTGAAGCAGTTGGTGGCCAAAACAATTTTGCCCGTTTATCTCTTAACATTTTGGTAGACGTTAAAACGTGCATCCAGCTGAATGGGCTTACGAAGTTAGCCGTGTCCTGCGCCTCATTAAGCAAACGCCTTCTGGGCAATGGTGCGGATATGGTACAGTGCGATTGCAGTACGGACTGTTCAGATTCTCATAAACTCTCATCGCTTGCCTACGACATTTTGTGCGACAATGTTGTGTACAATGCACGACTGCTTCGACTTCTCATGAATATCTGCCTCCCAACTCACCTTGCGCTCCGCATCAAGACATTTGTGGCGTTGGAAAGCAAGATTGAAGGGATCGTTCAGACGTGCTTAATCAATTCGGCAGATGATGGGGACGCATCAACTACCACCAACCATCAGCGCAGACCAGCTCTAAAAGCTTTGAAGGAAAAGCGTGATGGCCCAGCGCGTCGAAAGCGTTTGCGACAAGACTTCGATGCTAGGTCCTCTTACGGCCTGAGTGAGGATTCTGACTTTGGTTCAGATGCTAGCTGCTCTTCCGTCTCCGACGTGTCTGACGACGCCAATGCAATCATCAACTCTCATACTAGCGGCAGCAGGCGGGACCAAGACGCTTTACCCAACCGAGATCGCGTTCCACATCTTCATTCTCGTGCTACTCAAAGCATTGCCATTGTCGCTGTTTTGACTCTGCTCGAACAATCTCAATCCACGCTGCTCAATGCCATCACTGCCAAAAACGGCGGTAGCGAACCCATTTCATTTCCCCATTACCAGGAAATTGTAGGTTACAACCGGATTCACGGGCTTGTGAATAAATTGATAAGCGACTATCGTGATATATCGTGGGAGACCCGAAACGTGCTGCTAAAGGTTCTTCACATGATTGAACTGGGGTTGCGCATCGGCAAAGCTAGTGGATCGGTGCAACGAAAGGGAGGTGACCCTGACGTTGGCACATGGCATGACAGCACAATCTCCATCTATGAATCTTCAGTCACATCGGCATTAAGAAGTCGAGCGTGGGTTAGTGGCATCAAGGATGCAAGTCAAGATTCGGGAACAAAAACCAAGGTAACTTCATCTGCTTTGCTTTTTGTTTCTTGAGTTGCTTGGTCTGACTCACCAACCACATGGAACTCGAATGTACGTAACCAATAGGTATCTGCAACCCTTCTCAAGATGGACATTTTTTTCTTGCAAGTTCCAGGCACCGTGCAGACTTGGCTTAAAAAGGTATGTCTCTAGCTCATGTTCGTCACGCTGTTGTGACCCCCCCCCCTTACTCACTCTTTGAATGCATTGCAGGTCACGATATCCGATGCGTTAAAAGAACGCTTGAAGGCAATTGTGACAATGGTGAAGGAGAGAATTACGCCGATAGAGCACTCGAGTGTTCGATATGGAAAGGCAAAAGCTCGACAGCGTTTAGTTGGTGTCGTCCCGATCGTAAGAAAACGAAAAAAGCGTTTACGGAGTCGTCATCCAGTCATTGATGCATTTCTCAATGAAGAAGATGGCGCTGATGCATTTGCTGACTTGGAAGATTTTATTGAATAGAGCGGAATGGCGATAGCAAAGTTATTTTTTCCTTGACGAATATGCCCATTTTTTTTCGTATTAGTTGAGAGTATGTGAATGTTGCAAACACTATTGTCTTTTGGAAGAATAATTTGAAAGGGACGACCTTCTTAAAAATAATATAGTAGTCAAGCTTTTTGCAAAATAGTACTTATTAAAACGTGATATCGTTTTACTTTTTAGGATATCGTGCAGTATTTTTTATGTTCTGCTTCTAAATGTATAAATTACACTGTTCTACTGCAAATGGTATAAACTACCAGAGCTGCAACTAACCCTATTGTGATATTTAACATTTTGGATCTTGCCTGCAGTATAAATTACAAATTATGATGCAGGATTATAAGTTCTGAGCGTACAGATTGTGATTTATCATCTAAAGCATAAAACACTAATTTACTCCGATTTACGGATCCACGTTTTGCGGCAAACTTATTTTTCGCTTCTATTCCAGTTGAAATGGAGTTTTTGCGCCGTCTCAGTAAACGCCACCAGGAGCTGAAGCAGAAGATCCACAGCACGCGCATCCCCTTGTCCAATAATGGACAGCGCGTAATGGCACTCGTTTATTTCACAGCTCCTATTATTGGCGGCTATTATGTCATGAAGTGGGCAGAGCGTCGAGCCGACGCTAATTTTCAGCGTGAGGTACGAAATAGCTGCTAAAAAAACGTTGAATTGAGTACAAATAGGACTGAATTGAGTGCATTTGTGCAGGAGATGGAAATTCGTCGAGCTGCTGGAAGTAACGCCAAGTATGTCGCACAACAGAACCAGCAACTGAAAAAGATGCTACATGACAAGCAATAGTAAAAATTTACCAAGTATCAGCTGATTCTATAAAGATAAAGATGGGGATATCGTTACTATTGCCAAATAGGGCCATAGCTACTGTAACAATCTAGGGGTTTAATTAAGTTAATGGATTAGCTGTCGTTTTTAGAGGTGCTCGTCATGCGTGCGATAAAGCCACCGTACTTTTGCATGTGTAGTGTCAGTCAGTCTACTTCGTGTCAAACGGCCAGGCCTTGATGTACGTCTCGTTGAGTAAGCTGGGCACCGCTATCACGTGCGGCTGTCGATATGCTGACACCACGGCCGCTACAGCCTATCGCCCCAACGAATGAATAATCCTGATGCGAGACGACAACAGTTGGCGATAAAGCGGTAGTCCACGTTTGCTTCAGCCGGCATTGTGGCGCCGGACGCCACGCATAAGCTTTTCGTGGAAATGCAATTGACAATCGCCGTGTTGGTGTTTGCGGACCGTTTGGCAAACTCGGTGCTGATCTTCGCGTGGCGATTGAGGTTCCCCATGGTGTGAACGTCTTGCCGCACCAGGGAAATTTGCAGAGGTGCAGAGGTTCGCCGTAAGGAAACTTTATGTTTTTTAAAGCTTGCCGTCGCTCGGGAAGGTGCAGACGCAGCCCTTCATAAGACACTTGATGGGCTTGATATACCCGTACAGACGCTTGTGACGCGCAAAGGTTACCGAACGTCGCGGAATGATTGGGGCAGGACCGCACAGGGCAGACGTGAAGTCGTTGGCCCGTGTGCGTCTTCATGTGTTCAGTGAGCTAGGACTTGCGGCATAAAGTGGCGACGACTGCTGGACCCGGGCAGCGGTGGAGCAGGCAGCTTCTTTTCTTTGAAGGTAGTGTCGGCCATCGCTATTGTGTGGCAAGTAGATGCTTTGCACAGCCTACAACTGGTAAAGTGAAGAGCTCACTACCGAAGCTTCATGGCGTGATTATGGCACCTCAATTTGCTTGAGATCCCATTGTCTCGAAGGGATGGAACGCAACGTCGGCACTGTCTAATACATATAGCGATGGCGGCTTGCAACCGAATCTACTACCCACGGATACATCGACGAGTTGTACTGTGAAATGTAAAGAGCAGCTCGACGTGCTGGACGCGACCTTAGACAAACTCTCTGTGCTCTTGATCGATATCGGACTCGACGGCCAGCGACAGCAACCATACGGACGACTTTGTCCAATTCCACGTGCAGGAGCTCGGCTACCCATAGAACTATCTTAAAAGTATCTCAAACCAAATTCAAGGACTGAATCACTTCAACATGCATGACACTGCTGACTGCTAGGATTGTGCTGTCGGTACATTTTATTCCTAGGACGACATTGCTATGTTGTTAGCAGCCTATTGGAGCAGGTGACCCATGATATGATCACATACATCACTTCTTCAAACACTCCATGGAGCAAAGGTTGTTGCTTATTAATTTCAGGCCAACGTTCTTTTAGTCAGTAAGGTAGGACGTGAAACAGAAAGTATCACAAGTACATGTACTAAATTGGCGTGCCTTACGCGCCCTCAAGCCTTTATGAAACAACACAACGTCAATTGTGAAATAGCAAGTCATGCATGGAGAAGGCTCGCATCTGACTCAAGTCCTATCCGGAGCGGTCCGAAGCGCAGTGACAAAGATAAAAATGGTTCAGCCCGATGCACTGTTGTATCTTTGAGGCTCTCTTTTGCTGAAAACGTGTTAGTAGCCACGATACGGTCGGCGACGACAACAAACGCGGTCGCTTGATCGACTTGACTCGCCTCTCAGAATGATCGCCCATGTCGGTCGCTTCACGTTATTTTGCTTGACTATGAGACCTTGTGCAAGCCAAAGCGGTTCAGTAGGCCAGATTCCATCGCAACAGCAGCAACTGATGCTTCCCCACCAGATGCTACAGGGGGATCGCCTACCACGCCCACATGTTCGGAGCTATTTTTAAGGACGTGTAAACTCCGAAATGCTGGACATCCTCGTAAATTGCTAGACGACCCCCCACCATGCGGTGCAAAAGAATGAAGCTTTAGGCTTTAATACTAATAGGAGGGTCTGCCTTAGTGTACATAGTAGTAAGTGAATAGGATGTTAATAACGTTGCAACTATTACTGCGGCCTTTGTACTCTCGCAATTGGTCACACTAGCGAAATACGTTGCTTAGTCAATGAGATGATTGCATCTATCTTCCAATACAGCTCTTAGCGAGAAATCTATTGTGTAAGGATAGTATGCAAAGTGTCAATAGTGAACATATATTTTAACAAGTAGCAAGGCACTGCACACTTTGAGCAGCGTTGTGAGAGTAACTGCGATATGACGATCTTTATGTCATTAGACGATCCCTCGCGTGTGCTCATCCTTGGAGTCGTGCACGAGGTCACAAGTGACAGACATGGGATTTGACAAGTAGTAGCTCAGCAACCTCTATTAGTTAATATATTACAAGCTTATGTAGCAATATCAATATAATATCAATATGGATTGAGTACTATTTGCAAAAAAGTAACAGCACCCAACGGATTTTCATACTATGAAGAAAAATACCGCAGTCTTTTTGTAATCAGATATTAAAGCTACAGATCAAAAGCTCGTAGCCTTACTACATACAAGATGCAAAGACAATTAGAGCTGGCAGATCACTCTAATGGAATGAAGTCTAGCACATTGTACGCTTCAACAGGCAAAGCACTCTCACCTACTTATAGTTCGACTGGCTTGGAACAAACTCTTTCATTGACAGCAGCAGACAATCTACGGGTATGACACGATTTACCTGTACTTTACATGGGTGAAAACGGCAGTAATGGCGCTGGAGAACCATGTGATCCTATTGAGGGCTAAATGTACCATGTCAATGTAGCATCCATCTCATTCTCTCGTCAACAAAATTGCAGCGGTGTAGGCTGTATTCATCCTCAGTGTTACCCCATTGAATTATCACGTACTCTTGCAAACCCAAGATATCTTTCATACAGTAAAGTCGGTGGTTGCTTCCCTTTCCCGTTCCCTTTCGCGAACTTTTGACAGCAGACGTTGTAAAATCAAGAGGTTTGCGCGTCCGGTTCGACGCTCTGACAAAGTTAACAAGTTGTCACTGTCTTGAGATATAAAGTGCAATAGCCGTGATACTGTTGCGTGGGCCTCACTCGCCGTAAGGAGCGGGAGATCATCACTCTTGATGCTATCCAGCATCAACGCCCTTTGTGTATCACGAAGAAGTCCCTGAGAAGCTAAACTTTCCACGACGATCTCATTGTCTTTCGCAATTTCGTCCATGCCAGTGGCCTCCGACTTGTCGAAATCCAGCAGCTCCATCATAAATTGAACAGGGTTGTCGGTAAAATCGAGTCCCAGTGCCTGTTGAAGCGCTGGAACGGCTTTCAGCTGAGCGAGAACTTCCGTGTAAGTCTTGATGTCATCTTCTTCACACATTGATGCCGAAGGTCCATCGTCCCCGGGAACGACCGCAGGCAAGTACAAGCTCGCTGACCACGCATGTCGAATGAACGACTGCGGCACGGATTCCCATGCTTTTTGAAGCCAAGTGAGCGTGTTCCGCAAATGAGTATGTGCATGGACATCAAAGACATCATGCACGGGTGATTCTTCACTTAGCGGTGTCTCAATAGTATGCCTCTGTTGGTCGCCCTTTGATGCCGCTGCCCACTGTTCGTACTCATGAAGCAACGTCTGGAGCATCTCACGCCGAAATCGTAGCTTAAACGATCGAAGGATACCCTGATGAAAAGGCTGAGCATCACCCGAAGGGCCAGGAGGCATAAAGAGCAACACGATCGATTCGAGTCTGAAACCATTTCGAAACGAACCTGATGGGTTGAGCGCGTGAGCAGCAGCTACATGCGCTGTACAGCTATTCAGCACCAGATACCAGACCTGCTTTCTGCTTGTTGCCTCTTGATTCATGGCCTGGATGAAATCAGAAATCGTATGCGCATCGTGTGCAGCTCGACATTGATCACGATACTGAATTCCGTAGCTCGTTAACGTGTCAACATCCTTTAACGAATCTGGGTTCGAATCTTTTCCAACAGCTTGCATGTGGAGCTTCTCACCTGATGCGCTCATGGCCATAGCAACTGAGATACGCTCAAGACTACGTGCGTCCATGTTAACAACTGAGTCTAATCTGGCCGAGGTGGTACGATGGCGCAGTATAAGTTCATCTAGATTCCATATACACGTCGGACTAACCGTCAGCAGCAAGTCACGAACTTTTTGAATACGTTGCTCATAATTCATTCTATCAAGTGGCATTGCTGCGAGACTTGTCTGACCATGAAGTTTTGGTAATGAACGCATACTTCGTCGTTGCATATACCGATGGAGCCATCCATTTGATGCTTTAAAGTCCGTTAGTGACATGATTACTTCATCGGACAATTCATTGCTGTAATCTGCCAAGATTTTGTTCCGAAATTCCATTGCCTTGGACTGTAATAATTCGCCTGTAATCTTTAATGCCGGTGCATCCAATTCAATCTGCATCTGCCATTTATAGAGCATGTCTTCAATCACACTAAGTTTATGTTGATATTGCAATACTTTGCGACTACTTGTTGCACTTTCCACAAGAGCTTGAGCTGAAATTGCAGCTCGTTCCTTTACCATTTTCGTCACTGCCGTACGTGAGACACCAAATTTCTCTGCTGCAGCTCCTTGAGAGCCTCCCAAGTCTACAAACGCAAGAATTTCCATCTTTTCCAAGTTTGTTTTACGAACACGACGGCCTTTTCTTGGACGGATTAATGGAATCTGCGACACTTCCGTTTCTATCTGAAGGGTTGCCGCCTCTTCTGACGTGATTGTCATTTCTAACGATTGCGGCGTCTCCAATAACACGACCGATGTCTCGTCTATAACTTGCTGCTTGGAATCAGACGCAATGGGTACAACCGGATCTGATTCCGTCGTCGTGAGCTGGGTCTTGTGTATCCGTCGCTTCTTTTTAATGTCGGGTATTAATAGAGCGTTTTCTTGAGTACGTTTATCGAGAGATGATGGGGATAACGACACGGCGTATTCGCTCTCGATGTCGGAAGGCGACGTCGCGCGTGTAATTGGCATCGATGGGGTCTTGTGCTCCATTAAGAGTGATTGGACGGGGGGAGCGAGAACAGTGACATCTCGATATAAGAACCGAGTACATCCCTATATAAGATAAGAAAGAGTGCGACTTTTTGATTGGTGGAAAAGTATAATAAGTCTCCTCCACACGCATGTGGCGATGTAAAGCTGGTCGACGACGAGTCTTTAGCGACGTCGCTAGCGATGGTCGATCATTAATTGCTAATTCTACTACTAGAATATACATTGGCAGTCGAAATGCTGCTATTTCATGCAATTTTCGACTTCCAATGATGCGTGTAGCCTCCGCAAGAGCATGTTTTACGTCATGGGATACTACATCATGCGTATCATCCACTATTCGGCCTAATTATCGAGGTTTTAGCAGCAATTCAACGCAATTATTGCTATTCCAACGTCAAACTGGTCTTTCTGTAGACAATAAAGTGTCTACATTGTACCGACGCAGCTTTAGTAGTGTCGAGAGTCTCTACCAGAAGAAGACGCCATTGGAACATGTGCTTTTACGTCCAGGCATGTATATTGGCTCTGTAGAGACTACAAAGGACAATATGTGGATGATCTCGTCGGAGAATGGAGCTAAGGAGTTTGTAGAAGGACTCACGATGAAACAACAGGCTGTAGAGTATGTCCCTGCATTGTACAAGATTTTTGACGAGATCATTGTCAATGCAGTCGACAATAAGGTTCGCGACCCTTTGATGAGACATCTGGATGTGATTATTGAGCCTGGTAACAAAGCGAATGGATACAGGTCGTGGATTTCAGTCTACAATGATGGCAAAGGTATTCCTGTCAAGTTCCACAAGACGGAAAAGGTTTACGTGCCCGAACTGGTGCTAGGCCATTTGCTAACGGGATCGAATTTTGACGATACGAATGCGAGATTGACTGGCGGGCGACACGGATATGGTGCCAAGTTGACGAATATCTTTAGTAAAAAGTTTATTGTCGAGACAGGTGATACGTCGATGGGATTACGGTACAAACAGGTTTGGCAAAATAATATGCGCACTCGCGGAGAACCCGAAATTACGGAGTTTACGGGCAAAGATGCGAAGGACTTTACAAAAGTGTCGTTTTCACCTGACTTGGAAAAATTTGAGATGGAGAAACTTACGACAAGTATGGCACGTGTACTGAAGAAACGAGTATACGATGTGGCTGGCTGCTTATCGGATGTGGAGGTTACTCTTAATGGCAAGAAGGTGCCTATTTCCGGCTTTGAGTCGTATATCCAAGCCTTTTGCCAGTCCACTACGACAGCTGCGGTTTTAAAGCCAACAAAGTCAGGTGCTGTGACGCAAGACAGTAGTGACGAAGCATCTTCTGTCTCGAATTACATTTATTCTCGTGTGAATAAACGCTGGGAAATTGGTGTGTTGCCTTCCGATGTGGGTTTTGTACAAGTAAGTTTTGTCAACGGCATGTCGGCGCTGCGTGGCGGCTCCCACGTTGGCTACATAAGTGACCAAATATGCCGTCGTGTTGCTGAGCATGTGACCAAAAAGTTCTCGGAGCTGTCCGTTAACACAGCACACGTAAAGCCACACCTGGCAATCTTCATAAATTGCCAAATTGAGAATCCGACGTTCGACTCGCAGATGAAAGAGTACATGTCCTCACGGCCACAGACCTATGGATCAACGTGTACACTTTCTGAAAGGCTTTTGAAGCTGGTGCTGTCGGACTCCGGTATTGTAGACCGAGTTGTGCAAAGTGCTCGCGCGCGACAGCGTGCTGCCCTCTTGAAGAAGGTGTCGTCCACGCGTTCGAAAAACACGTCAGTGAACGTACCAAAGCTTGAGGATGCTAATCTCGCGGGTGGGCCTCGCTCAAGCGAATGTTCGCTTATCCTGACCGAAGGTGACTCAGCAAAGGCACTAGCAGTGGCAGGTCTTGCAGTTGTCGGGCGTGACCGGTACGGTGTCTTTCCTCTCCGTGGCAAACTTTTGAATGTGCGCGATGCGTCTGTGGCGCAACTCGGTAAAAATGCCGAGTTTGCACATCTCTGCACGATTCTTGGTCTTCGCATGGACGAGCGTTATGACACGAAGGAAGCACGTCAGAAACTGCGCTATGGCCGCGTTATTGCCATGACGGATCAGGATCACGACGGCTCACACATCAAAGGCTTATTGTTTAACTTGCTCCACACGTTTTGGCCAGAGTTACTGAAGGAAGGTGGTTTTATCAGCGAGTTTATTACACCCATTATCAAAGTGAGTCCTTCGTCTAAGCGCGTTGGCATCGACCGCGGTTTGGAGACTCACCGCTTCTTCAGTCTTCCGGAGTACTTTAAATGGAAAGCTTCTCTTGACCCGGACAACTTTAAGTATTATACGATCAAATACTACAAGGGTCTCGGTACTAGCACTAGTGCTGAAGGACGCGAGTATTTTAGCGACTTGGATAAACACCTAGTGGATTTCCATTGGAGCGGTGACAGCGATGGCGATGCATTGGATATGGTCTTTAGCAAAGCACGAGCTGCAGATCGCAAGGCTTGGCTTTTAAATGAGTACTCTTCCGATTCTTTCCTCGACACAAGCTCGGGAGATGTAACGTACCGTGACTTTGTGAACCGTGAGCTCATTCAATTTTCTCATGCGGATAATGCACGGTCGCTGCCATCTGTTGTTGATGGCCTTAAGATTTCGCAGCGTAAGGTGCTGTTCGCCTGCATGAAGCGCAAGCTGACTAGCGAGGTAAAGGTCGCGCAACTGGCGGGTTACTGCAGCGAGCACACAGCTTATCATCATGGTGAAGCTTCATTACATTCTACGATTGTTAACATGGCCCAGGACTTTGTTGGTTCTAACAACCTTCCACTGCTGTATCCATCCGGCCAATTTGGAACTCGGTTGCAAGGAGGCAAGGATGCCGCTAGTCCTCGATATATCTTTACACAGCTTCAAAAGCACACTCGCTTGGTCTTTCCTGAGGAAGACGATGCTTTGCTTCGTTACGCCGACGATGATGGTTTTCCAGTTGAACCCGTATATTACGTTCCTATTATTCCGATGCTGCTCGTGAATGGTGCAGAGGGTATTGGTACAGGTTGGTCTTCGTCGATTCCTTGCCACCACCCGATACAGGTGATCGACAACCTATTAAGGCTCCTCAGTGCCGAAGAAGAAGGAGACGATCTGTCAAAGGTAGAGTTGGCACCGATGACTCCGTGGGCTAAAGGATTCAGCGGTGTGATTCGTCAGACCGGCAAACACTCGTTTGTTTCGCGTGGTACCGTACAACAAATGAACACGTCCACGCTGCGGGTGACCGAGCTGCCAATTAGCAAGTGGGTCGAGGACTATAAGAAGTTCCTGTGGGACCTCATTGGCAAGAAGGCTATTCGGTCTTTCTCGGAGCACCACTCGGATCGTGATGTTCGCTTCGACATCTCCATGACACGCTCTGATCTGGCTCAGTACGCAGAGGATGCTGCCAAGAATGATGATAGCGACAATGCTGGCAACGGTGAAGCATTGATCAAGCTGTTGCGCCTTGAAGCCCCTCTTAGCACCAGCAATATGCATGCGTTCAACGCTGACGGTCAGTTGGTCAAGTACGAAACGAGCGAGGATATTTTACGCGACTTTTACGTTGTTCGACGGGATTTGTATTCAAAGCGGAAGCAGTATTTGGAGCAACATCAAACAAAGGACGTTCTTCGATTACGCAACCGTATTCGCTTCATCGAGGAGGTCTCGTCGGGCAGTTTACAGAAAGTCATAAAAGAGCGCATTCCGAAAGAGGAGCTTGTCGAGCTTTTAAAGGAGCACGGGTTTTCTCCAGCATCAGCTTTAAAGATGAAGGAGATCGACCACGTCGGTGACCTCGGCTTGACTGCAGTTGGTCGTATTTCAGATGATGCAATTGTTGCAAGTGATGATAGTCAAGACTTTGATTATCTACTGAATACGTCCCTCATGAGCTTTACGAAAGAGGTTATCGACCGATTGCAGAAGGAACACAATCTCAAGCAGATCAAGTTACAACAATTGGAGAAAATGACCCCGGCTCAAATTTGGCGTGATGAGCTCTTTCGATTGCGTACTGAATTACTGCGCGATATAGAGTTTCAAGGGTCAGAATAGATAGAGTAAGCAATTAGAGTCTTGGATAAAGTAAAAGTCGTATGATTCGTCAAAAGACCTATTTTTGTTTTATCCAATCACGTCGCTCGATAGTCATAAATGGGGGAGCATTTTCAAGCGAGAATTCAGCGCAGAGACCAGGTAAGATCATGTCGTCTTACAACACTTGATACTGAGAGTAGCGGCAACGTTACCTCGTCATATGCACAATCATTATTTAGAACAGTGTCTGCTCTATCTATTGAGCCCCTTTGGGCCTCAAATGGATACGTATAAGACGCAAAACTAACATTTTCCAACGACGTGTCTGTTCATATTAGTTTTGCAGCGGAGTGACGTGTTTGAAGCCATGGCAAAGCATGGAGCCGAAGTCGTGACTGGTGCGTCAGTATACAGTGTTTAAGTTGTCGAGATTGGGACGCAATAACGAGAACAGGACGCTGATTTTTGCTTTTGTTGCTCGTGTTAGTGCCACGTAACTTTAAGTTGCTGGAAGAGCTGGAAAACAGTGAAAAGGGACATGGGGATATGAGCATTTCCTATGGATTAGAGCAAGCAGATGATATTTTTTTGACGAACTGGATAGGAACTATCCTTGGTCCTGCTGGAGTGAGTTCTATATCTTCTTTGAACGTCTTCATTTGGATGTCTTGAGGACTAAAAAGATAGTATTTTATTTCTCTCGTGTCTTTTTGTGTCTCTTGTGATGATACAGACGTGCCATGATGGACGTATTTACAGTCTACGGATCCATTGCAGTGACATGTATCCTCATATGCCGCCTGAGGTGCATTTCACGAGCCGCATCAACATGAGCTGTGTGAATCCCCAATCGGGCCGTGTCGACCCACGACGATTGGTGGCATTGGGCAATTGGCACCGTAATAACGGCATTGAGAATGTACTCGTGGCAATTCGTGCCGAAATGGGGTCTACGACCAATCGACGTCTGCCACAACCACCTGAGGGTGCCAACTTTTAAAAGTATGTCGCTGATAAGGGGGGAGACTTTTTTTCTAGGTGACTACCGAAAGGAGATAATGGGGAGAAGGAAGGAAACAGGAAGGAGCAGACAACAAAAAGTGTGGGGCGCTCTTGAAAGGCTATGGAAGACGGTCTTTTTGTTGACTTCAAGTAATGCCTAGTTCATGATAATAATGCACATTTGATGAAGCGAGTGGGTTATTTCTGCCAGTGTGGGGTATTGATGATGATGTACCTCATGCGCTACAGCTCTAATGGTCTGGTATAACAAGGTGTTCTAGTATGTCAACTTGGCAGCATTCTCTAGCTCGCTGCGAATACTTTAACTATACGGGTGGACGGACCGGAAGCGAAGAGCTTTAGGTGTCACGAACGCCATGAGTGGGTTCTCTTTCTGAGGCTCTTCTTCAGAGAATTCGTCCTCCTCGTCACACTCAGACACTCCTTCGCAATGTATCTGCAGGCGTCGCCATTGAGTTTTTACTTGTTCAATTGGATACTTGACCACGTGCAATAGGGTGGCTACCGCACGTAACAAGTCGCCACCTGTGGCCACAGTAAAGAGCGGAACGAGCAGATATCCTACAGCCTTCCACACAGATGAGGGGTGATTGCTAAGCGGGAGCAGAAGCAGTAGATGCAGTAACAGCTCGCGACCAATGCCACTAATGCACAGAAACCCTCGAAATGTGTGGTCCCATCGTGCAAACTGCTTGAACAATGGATGCCAGTTATGCCGAGCCTCAAGAAAACGCACATGTACCGCAGCAGCATTCAAACAGCAAACACCTAGGTCGAATGTGAGCATGTACTGAAAGGACATACTCAACGTCGGGTACAGCCTTTGCAGCGACAAGTAAAGCACTACAAGAGCCAATTGGTCCAGTACGACAGCCGTAAAGCTTGCAATAGTGACGAGCAATCCACTCTTGATGCAGAGCATGAATCTTCGTGCAATCACGTCGCATGCCAGTATCATGAGCAAAAGTTTCGTTACTTTCGAGCGTAACTGCGACTCCAGTGTATTCTTCAACTCCGATTGGAACATACACAACATAATGTAGATCAACACTGCACGAAAGGATTCCACTAGAGGTACTAAAATCACTGCCAAAAAGTGCTCAACCAGTGACTTGTCCGAGCCCACCCCCCAATATCTTGAAAAGACATAAATCTCTCGAGAATCCGACGACAATGCCATGACTTTTTCACTCTCGGGACTTGGTCGTGACGTTCGTTTTTCAGACTCTGGCGGTGACAAACACCCGACGCAGAATCTCATAGCAATTTCACTCGTCTTCGAGTGCATCGACTTGCAATGCAGCACTCGAAACTCTTTCTTTCCATCTGCAGTCACTCGGATCGACGCCACTTCTACCAGTAGCGGATCTAGCAGCAGCACTTCGTTGGCTTGAGCTTGTGATACAAAAAACGGTTCATGACGCAACGAGCCGTCGGCTGTGGTCCAAAAGAGATACGGCAGCAATAGGTTGTCTTTGTCTAGATCTAAACCTCCCGGTGAACACCAAATCATCACCTCACTACCCGGTTGTAACGTGTATTTATCTGGAAAGTAAAAGACGTCGCTACAGCCGTCACAACGAAGACTAAAGTTTGTCAAGTCGACGCACTCATCCGACGGATTCGACACGACCATCCATTGTTTCATTGTATCGATTCGAGAGATATAGAGCTGTTGCATAACAATCTTATGACATAGTTGCATACTAGCACGTGCGACTTGTCGATCCAATGATCCTAGCGGCAGACGTCGCAAGAGCGGGTAACTCATGGCTCGAATTTGGCGCGTCTTTTTCTAATTTGAATGCCTCTTTCCCGCCAAAATAAATAGTTAGTGTGGCAAACAAAAGTACCCTATCGCAATGCATAGCTGTACGATGAGATTTTGTTTTTCTAAAATCTGTTTCGGATACGTAATCAAACACCAAATACGTCAGTGTGTGTATCCTTATTACCCAACAGGAAGTCACGATGGAGACAATGGAAATGGAAGACGGTACCGAAGGAATGCTTATGGATGTAGGTTTTATGTTTGACACGTTTTTGGAGAAAGTGACCTGTCGTTATGAATATGGAATCAATACCGATGTATCGGTCTTGCTTACGTATACAAAGGAAGAACCTGGTGCATTGCAAAGTGGTCACTACGTCTGGCCTGCTGCCCCTGCATTGTGTGAATATTTGACCAAGCATCAGGACGTTATTCCTCGTGGAAACGTGGTAGAATTGGGTGCTGGCTGTGGACTCACGGGTCTTGCTGTGGCTCAGCTTCGACCGGATGCTACTGTGATCTTTACGGACCACGATCCAGGTGTGCTTAAGGTGATTGAGCACAATGCTGGTCAGCAGGAGAGAGTACAAGCCAAGTGTCTGACACAGAGTTTACGGTGGGGACCAGATGGAGCCAAGGAGATTGAAACACTCGAGAAATTACAGGTCGGACCTGATGGCAGCAATCAGAATATTACGGAGCTGATTGTTGGCTCCGACGTCATTTATGCGCGGGAAGTGGTGCCGCTGCTATTTTGGACTGTAAACAGATTGCTCGCACCTGATGGAGTCTTTCTCATGTGCTCAAGCTTTGGATATGATGATGCGACGGAGCAGGAGATTGAGGTGCAGAGTGCCAAATGCGGACTGAAGAGAAAGATCGTCGAGTGTACGCTGAACGAAGGGGGGACTAGGATTCAGAGCTTTACGAGGTCAACAAATAGGTAAAAGATTGGTACTGGAGATACCTGGGACTGATACGTTCTGAGTTCCTACCAATGCTGGATACGATGTGCTGCCAGATACAAGAAGATGAAGCGATATGCTGTTGGTGTTTGCAAAAGAAAAGAGATCGCATTGCCAGGCAGGACAGTCAGTGACTGAAATGCTACACTGAATAGCAGCTGCAAAATTTGGACGTGAAGAGAGGAGATAAGCTAAGCTAAGCGATCTGAAGTTATTGGTAGTTCTCACTCTTCTGTGTTCTCTCTTGCATTAGGAGCTGCTAGTATCAATGGCCGGTAGGTCAAGTACCCAAATCGATTACACAATCAAATCAAGAGCAATTAGTTCTGCAAGCCATTCAGATAAGCAAAACCATTTGCAAGCAAGGTACTCACGACGCGCCAGCTTGCTATGGCAGTTTGAAACGGGCTGGAGGCCAAGTAAGTCCTTAAGAACCACCACATCAACCTCACAAACATTCTTCTATCTCTCCCAGCTCATTAGTCTGACACCGTTGCAAACGCGTAGAGCTGATGCTGTACAATATAGTCCAACACTGCTGGATCCAAGTATAATCCAAGCTCCTTTTGATCTGCAGTAGCTCTCACGATCGTCGATGACACGTCACTGAGCTCTGGTATGTGAATGTACTGCACTCTATCCTCTTGACCTTCCTTCTTCTCCTTTTCAACTCTCCATGGCGACTCGACCCCTTTTCGATCAACCACCAAGACTTTGACATATTGCATGAGTTCATCTCCCCTTTTCCATTTACCAGCCAATAAATCCGCGTATGTGTCTCCACCCAATAGCATCGTAAAGCTCATATCCGGATACTTATCTAGGAGGTACTGTACAAGGTCGATACTACCAAGACGAAGCTCTTGTGGACTCTGGTTCTTAGCAGCAAAGTTCTCGGTCATCTCCCGCTCTTCCTCTACCACTTTAAGCTCTGCACCATCATTTTCTTTGCTTTGAAGCGTCTCTAGAGCCAAGCGACACATCTCGACGCGATGTTTAAACGGTGCGAGCTGTCTCTTGCTCGAATAAATGTGTTGGTACACGGGTAAGAGCCAAATTTCATCATAAAAGAAGCGACAATGCTTTACGACACCCATATGACCCTTTAGACCTGTTGGTGGGTTCGCCGATAGCCCAAACAACAACACCTCGCGAGGTCTGGACGACGTCATGATCAAGCCTCGACGCATTAAATTGGAGTAATATCATTGGCTAAAACACAAATGCCTAGTAATAATGCGCTAAAACAAACCGACTACTACTTCGGCTGTAGTAGAGATTACTACTACAGCTTGTATGTAGTAGCGAATAATACTTTGTCACGGGTAGTACTTTGTGATAGTTAATATTTACATAAGATGAAGGTTATAATGCAGCGTGTGACCAGCGCCTCTGTGCGTGTGGAGGGCGAGATTGTGGGCCACATTGGCAAAGGATTGCTGTGTTTTGTTGGTATTGGACATGAAGACACGGAGGATGACGCCGAGTGGTGTTGTCGTCGTTTGTTGGTACTATTTTCGTCGTTAAAAAACAATGTATCACAATTGGACTTGGAATCTGCTAATGTCTGTGCTTTATTTATACGATTAGAACGCTCGTCTGTGGCCTGAAGCATCTGGACGAGCGTGGCAAATGTCACTAAAGAGTAATGAGTATGAAGTGCTTTTGGTGAGCCAGTTCACGCTGCATGGCCAGTTCTTGGGCAATAAACCCGACTTTCATCTCTCCAGTACAGTGTCTGTTGGTGTTGGATATCGTTTCTGTAGCATTTGTGATAGATACTTTTGTCTGGTGGTGTTGCAGTGAAGCCGGAAACAGCAAAGGAGTTTTACGATGCATTTTGCGACCGTGTGCGACGTGAGTACGTTGCTGACAAGGTGGCGGAAGGCAAATTTGGCGCTTATATGGAAGTGTCCATTGTAAGGGATATTGTAAACCTCGAGAAGGTTGTTTGCTGTTCTAGTGGTACTCAAATGACGTTGAGGTTGTATGGATGCAGGTAAACGACGGACCAGTGACGATGCAGATCGACTCGAAAGACCGAAAACTTACCAAAAGTTAGAGAACTGGACAAGTTTGAATCTCAATACCCATGCTGTGGACCTTCAAGTTTCGAGCCACGGTATTTCTATTCTGATTAAAGCTTACAATATGTGTGCTCCACAACTTCATTCGCACTGTACAGACCAACATGCCTCAGTGTGTTGCTTGTTGTTAACGGTGCCGCATAATCATCACGTGGCTCATGTGCGAAAGCCTAAACGGATTATCAGACCAGAACTCACAATTTATTTTGCATCTTATCATTATAGAACCTAGTAATCAACTCTACACTCAACCTTCTAATTGTCAGAGCGACGTCCAAGACGTTTCAAGCGTCTACGGTAGTGCGAGCACGGTCGCTTGCCATGGTTCACCTACACATCAAGCGTTAATAAAACTCCAACCATACTATAGCATTGTAACGCACCTTTTTAGGTCGACGTGCATTACGATGAAGCAGCTGCAAAGCCACGGGTCTTCCAATAAGACGCATACGTTCTAGAGCAAAATCAAGATTGTCCTTCATAATCATCAGATATTGTGAGGCCTCTGGTTTTGCAGGTCCAGCTGTTGCAACAATTAAACGGAAAAGAAGTCATGTTTTTTCATGTCCATTGAGATTATCATCACGTTATAAAGAGAATTACGTACGCGTTGGAAAAAGGTCCCATACTTTCGTGTGCGTAGAGAAACAAGAAGTAGAAGAAATGCGAGATGCCAAACGTTTGATCACCATTGAATACATTGTTACAGTCACTGCTGCTGGACGTGAGACTACAAACAACTCGAGCCGAAAAAAACCATAATCTGCAATGCGATTGGTCGAAATGCGACGCAAAACGGTATTATTGGATGATCGCTATGAATTGATGTTGCTGACACCAATTTGCTTTTCTACTATAACAACCTGGCTACATTATAGCATGGCTTCAGGCGAGACTGGTATCTTGGCAGGCCTTTTGCCAGCATGTACGTCGCTCCTATTCGTTACTTTTCTCTTAATATGCTAATAAGATATTGCAATCCGTTTCTATACTGATGATGTATTTTTTCTCTCACTTGGAGCACTGTAGTGACGGAACAAATCGCTGAAAGTGTCGTGGAAGTAACGGGCGAAGTGGAAAATGCCCTTCATCAGGTCAGAAATGGAGTCTTTTTACAATCGATGTAGCGTCAACATTCGACTAATTACGATATGATTGCTATGGGTGTAGAAATTAGAGTCCACGGGCAGCAAGAAGAAGCAGGCAAAGCAATTGAATGCCGTTGCAAAGGTGAGAAAGACTTTTGTTTCTAGAGGTCGAGACCATTTCTTACATGCTTTTTGTGGCTGTTTTCTTGATAATGTTACAGAGCTCTGGAAAGTACATGGCTAAAGTACATCGTGCATTTGAAAAGAATTTTGAAAAATTTGAACTTTATGTTCGTCGCAACATTGTGCTAGTGCCTGATGCATTGGCAGACGAAGTGGCGCAGATTCGAGCGGAGAGACAGCAGAAAGACGGAGAAAACGAGAGAATACGTCAAGAAGAGGAGGAAGACTTGGCTTTGTTGTCAAAGGAAGAGAGAGAGGAGCGGGAAGTGGATGCTCAGCTGGAAACGCTGCGTCTGAAATTAAGGGACTTGACAGTGGCAAACCAACGGCTAGAGCTGGAGCAGAAGGCGTTACATGAGCGGACACAACACTTTCGAGACCTCGTGACTCGCGTAGCATTTCTAGACGATATACCTGAACGGGCGATTTTGCCATTAAAGCGCACAGCGGAGGACATTTCGGCGCTTCATGAAGCATTTTTACAGATGGATAGCATTCAGACGGCACTAGAGGAAGAATCACGGCAGTACAAGCGGTCTAAAGTAGCAACACGGGGCAGTTTTCGAAATCTGCGCAAACGGTTTACAGCTAGAACAGCTGAAATGACGTACAGGACGACGGAAGATCTAGAAGAGCTGCATGCGAAACTGCTAACAATGCATTCCCCGATAAAGGCTTCTCTGTAAGTCTGTCTGCACCTGTATACACAAACATAGTGCTGTATAAACTTTATATTCGTGTCGTATAGCATCGTTATACCGGCTTGTTCTTTTTTTCACAGGCCATGAACATTTATCCATTTGCCTATAATTCTCTCAGTCACCAGCATCTAACTGGTAATAAAGAAACCATGACGTCATTTCATTATCAAGAATCACTTCTTCTCAAGAAGTTCGTGCATTTTATTCATCGTCCTCGTCGTAAAGGTCATCAAGGACGTCGCCGTCCACCTCCACCCCCTCCTCCTGTTCCTCGTCTTCATCAGTATCCACAGGCATCGGCATAACGCCAATTTCCGAGCGTCTGTACGTGATCTTACCATCCACGAGCAAATAATTTCCCGCGTTTGATGCCTCCAAGTGAGCTTCATCGTGGTGACCGTGTTCCCACGGGTGCTCGAAACCCTATAGCGTAACATAATATACATTTTGTAAACCAAATAAACTCTTCATTTTTCTATAGAGGATCTTACAAACCCATGGGTTTACTTACTAACACAGCAAGCCCGTCCTGTTTGGCCCGCCAGAAGATCCAGAGCCAGAGCATCGTGCCATACGCTAACGCCAAGTTCTTGTGCACAGGACTCACGTGAAAATGCATTCCATGTGGGTAGTTATGGCCATGTGAAGAAGCCATGGTACGACGGCCAGAGGCAAGAGCCATACGTCGAGCAAGAAAACTGACAGCACGCATTTAAAGAGCTTTTTTTAATCTGAAAAATGAGCGGCGGAGAAACGATAAGAGACGATTTGGTGAGAGACACGTTAAATTTTAGCGAATAGAAAGAGATGATTTAACAATAATGTTCTTAATTATCGAGAACAATAAATTACAATAATTCAACTTTGGAAAGTTTAATAGTATTTATAAGCGGTAAAAAAGGTAAAAAAGAGATTTGCAAATTGATTCCCTCCATTTAAGATCGATACCCTTTTTTTAATCGTATATCCTTTTACAGTCGAAAAGGTTATTTGTAAAGGATTTAAAGCGATTTGTTGAACCTCACGTTGAGTCAAAGCACCTCTTTTCCCCAGGTACTTGAATCTTCAAATTAAGGTTAAACGAGAACCACCAGCTCACAGCCACCACGCACCTGACCCAGACGCTTGCAGCTCTCATGTCGACGGGCACTTCAAAAAATCTGTCATGTGCTACGCAGGCACACACCTTCAAGCAGTGTAAGGAAGTGGTTAGATCGTCTTACCTCCGCGTGCGGTGGTGTTGGTGTTAGTCGGCGCTAAAGCGCAGTACCAACCTTTGCCGATCGCCTCAAGCAAACCGCGCAACGAACTTTAAATAAACACCCAACTGCGTCACGAAAGCTGTTTCCAGTCTTGCTGCACGCAGTGAGTGTGATGTAGTATATTCAAGACAGACTTATGTTTAATTTGATTGAAGTAAATATAAATTTAACTACTGATTGGTTAATTATGCAAAGATTGGTAACGCGTTTCTTTAAAAGCATATCCCTACGTGCAAGCTTAAATAGATTTAGCCTCGCTGATGACGTCCGTCTGTGACGTCAACATGACGCCTAGTCCCAGCTGGGCGCCATCCCCGTTGAAAAAGAATCCATACATGGATATCACATTCACGAGGGTGGGTCACATTGATGTGCCTCACCCAAGTGGGAGGTCTAAGGTACCACGTACCCTTTTATACCTACTATAAACTTGACGGCATCGTGTAAATATTGGCTCGTGACACCAACCCCCTCTTCAGAACGAGTTTTACATCATTAAACATCGAAAGCAAGAAGATGCCACCGAAAAGCGGTAAGGCTGATGGGTCGCCTGAATAGGCGCCCATGCAGACCAACACCAAGCGCACGCGCCGCGATAATTCGCAGGCGTCGCTAAGTGTCTCTGTGACAAAGCCGGCATCTAATGTCAGAGAACACTTGTCCATCCCACTTTTACGCAAATGGAGATTTGTCTGTCACTGTAGACTACAATGAGAGCGCGCCATTGCCATCACCTCAAAGTGGTGATGAGCACAGTGCCTTTATGAGACAATTGTCCCCATCATTTGAGGCACCCAACCTTCAGGAAACTTCCATGCTTCCTGACAGCGAGGGTCATGCCTCGTCGTCTGCGTCAACGAGCGCAGCGACCACAACTGAACGCGCTGCTTCGAATGAAACATACGCGGATCAATAGCAGATCGTCGATTCGAAATCGTCCGCCTCTGTTGACCGTAAGTCTGGAGTCTTAACAACCCATAATGGAGGGTCAGCCTCAGGCGAGGGTGAGCTAACAACTCCTTCGATTTAACAGTAGGCCTTTATAGCTCTCCGTCGCGAGGGCGGCTACGTGAGTGGTGGCTTGACACGAATGCCACCACCATCCGAGTGGTAAAGCTTGAGAGGGAATAGTACGACGCTTTTAGAGAAAACAACTATTGACGCTGATAAACTCTTTAGCGTCTTTCCATCATGGAAAGGCAGAAAAAAGCACAAGGTCGTGCTTCCCTATCCTCGTCGTGTTGCGCTCTAACGTAATTACCGACAAAAACAAAACATAGATCCTGCGTCGTGTTAAAGCGCATGCGGATGCGGTGAAACAGAGGTAGCAGCGAATCAGCTTCGCTATGACGAGTGCGAGGGAAATATTGGGTGGTAACTTACCCCCGAATCCTTCTCGTCATGCCGCCCCTGCTAGTCAATCAGGAACTAGTAGAGCGAGTTCAGCTGTTGCTTCTGCTCGTAATCAGCCACCAGCCCAGGCACGTCGACGCGCAACGCGTCGACCGATTCTCAAAAGTCGAAACTCTTCGGGTTTTCTTATCATTGGATAAAAATATGAAGCTTTGCTTCACATGGAGGTGGTCCAACAACCTCAAACAAGGAAGCGTGTATTCCCACCCGCATTTACCAACACAGGTGGCGCCCGATAAGAGCGGTAATTACGCCAACCTACTTGCGGCTGCCTACCTTGCCGTCGTACGCAGGCACAGAGTACTGCTGTGAAAAAACGGGTTCATAATCTTTTGATTTAAGTCTCGCGACTGACCTCGAAACCCCAAGATGCGAAGGTAAAGGAATGTCAGGGTATAACCGCCTAAACCTTCGTTAAGACATTTTGGAGCGACTGGTGATGAGAGACCCGCGTCAAACGCGGCTTGCTCCTCGATCATTGAGTCCTCCATCGCCTCACTCAAACATGGGAAGCTTTTCGCCTCTTCCATCGCCTTATCGTCAACGACGCTCGACTCATAGCGACGTCACCATCGGTATCGTTATACTGGTGCGGATATGTGATCTCTTGTGGATCCACATACCGTTTCAGACGACCCACGTAGAATAAGGGGTAAGTCTTCATATACGGTGGGAGAGCGAGTATATAACTTAGGTCTCCAACCTTCTAGACCACCGCAAATGGCCCAATGAATTGGGGCAATAGCTAAGTAGTACCACCAGGTAGTACAGAAATTGCATGTTTAGGTATGGTAGCAGTACTTGATAGCACTTTGTCCCCAACACTAAAGTGTTCATTGTAATTTTGCGACCATGTTGGTCCGCACATTGATTTTGCTTATCCTGTGCGCTTGCCATTGCGTCACGAACTTTACGTGTGATGGCTAATTGCTCATCCACGAAGCGCCGAGCTTAGTTCACTCTTTTATCATCCAGCTTGCCTATGACACCTCCAAGGGGTCGGTAATGATTGCAAGGGGCCTTAAATTCCCTGTCACTTCTCCACAGGAGCTTCAGCCGACGCAGAATGCCGCGGTTTTTGCGCTCACGGAGGAGAAGGACGCGCCTGAGCAGCGCGAGAAGTCAGTCCCGAAGGATCGTATATCGGTATAGAGCGAGCGTCTGTTGCGCTCGCGAAGGCGAAGGACGCGCTTGCGGGCAGCGCGAGATGTCAAAGCTAGAGGATCGTTTATCGGCAGCTGGAGGAGCTTCAGACTCATCAGAATGCCCCAGATGCTATAAATGAAGCTGTTAATAACACTATAGTATCATCTTCAAGAAGTACATGCATTTCTTGCCGTTCCTCCTCTGCGACACCTATAGGTGTCGTGACCCCTGCTAAACTAGCAGTGTCACTAGGGCAACCTTTGCCCTTTTTAGCATTCGCACCGAGTGAAGTGAGGGGCCCTTCCCCACTAAGACTCGGGCAATATTTGGTGCCAGGCTCCAAGTCAATCTCGTGCCTGATGCTCCTATCGGCCGGTAGGCGGCTCGGCACTTTTGCTAGAAACACATCACGGTGTTTCCACAGAACATCATAGAACAGGATGTCCTTCAAGGCATTCCAGCCTTGAGCAGCAAACCGGTTTTTTGTTGTCGGTTACCAAGACGCTCTAGTCCATTGTGGACGACGAGCAACAGTCCACCACGTTTTCTTCTGGAACTGGTGCGACTATCTCGTGGATCTTTCCTTCCTTCAGTTTGGACAGGAACAGATTCCACGTCATCTTCGAGAGAGTTACTATCTCCTCGGAAGATGCCAAGACAAGTTGGAGCACCTCAACTGAGGATGCCTCTGGCATCTTGTCGTCGACGACCTCGAACAACTCTTTCGTAGGTACGTTTTCTCTTGGACCGAGACTGATCCAAGGGTCACTCGTTTCGACGTGCCCTTGATTGTCTTAATACATCGAATGCTCGTTGCTAGAGTCAACACGACCTTTGACCTGAAAGAAGGTGTTGTTGATGTCAGAGCCAACGCGCTTCTTTTAACCGCACCAGGCTCATAGCTTTTTGCCGGTTCTTGTGGCGCTTGAATTTCCCACTTCTTTAGTCGTGCGTAGATGTAAGTGTTGCATCGATCATACATAATAGGGAAGAAACATATATATATGGTCTATTTACAAAGAGCAATTTTCTGAAGATGAGTTTGAAGATCGTGAGTTGCGATTAGCGCCAGCCGTCATCAGATCATGGATGGTCAGTGCAAGTGGATAGTAGACAGTTGACTAGCAACGATCTATACTGAGATGGTTGAAGCACAAATGTTTGGAGAAAGAGTGGCTAGGAGACAGGTAGACAAAAAGACACAGTAATTAATATACAGAATCTTATCGTCTTCCTACTGCAACAAGCTTACTTGCCAACAGGGTATAAGATTAATGGCTAGGGAAATTGAAGCGAACACCAGATTACTAGGATGTGTTGCACGAAATGTGTTAAGGCGTGGCTCACCATCGCGTGTGCCCTCGTCGGTGAACATGTCGGTAGCCGTCTAAGAATCGTCCTCCCGCAAAAGGGGATTATGACGAGATCTTCGCGGCCCTCGCCGCAGTGACCGACCGTCTGTCGAAGATCGAGTCTTCGCAGCGCGTCCGGGACGAAACCGAGAGGATGCTTGGAGCTATCGAGAGCGAAATGCTTGCGTCCAAGCTTAGAGCAAACATGCGTGGACGCCTCATGACCATAGACGCGCTTGGGCCGCTGGAGGAGAAACCAGAACCACGTCACGCACGCTTGTTGGCTAGATGACGGCGAGTCGATGTTCGCCTCGGTCGCGCCGCCGCGCGGACAGCCGTTAGCTCAGCATCGCATGCCGCCACGAGCAGCCGAGCCCATGGCCGCGCCGCGTCAAGAAGAACCGCTACCTGCGACACACACGGCGGAAGTAATATGCAACTACGGAATGTCGACCACGAGCCAGCGAAAATGTAACACTCGCGATTTCGATGTGACGGAGCTCTACAAAGGGCTCGAAATCAGGTTCTTCGATGCAGGTTCTTTGACTGGAAACGCACCTTTATGCGCGCCGTGAACCTCGCTGAAGCGCCATCTGGTTTCTTGTTGACGGAGGACGTAAAGGTTGACCTCCTTGGCCAGGTACTGCGGAGCGCTACTATCACTAACAGATCGACACTTGGTGGTTTAAGCAGCCGAGACTCGAACACCTCATGGATCAGCTGCACCTAACGCCCAAGACGACGATCACGGCGAGCCAGTCCATGAAGCTGCTCATGGCAAAGAAAGAAGCGCAACGCACCTGGGCCGAGCACTTTCTTTACATGATAGCCGTCAGCGACGCGCGAGGTGGCGCCTACTCGCTTGTGCTCGACAACATCGTGCATTACGCGTCGCCAAAGCTGATGAATGTCATGCGGGGAAAGTAAGACCCGACGCGGTCCGACTAACTACGCCACTCTGAGGAGTTGGCGTACTTTGTGCAGTCGATCGATCTCGACAGCGGCGCGGTTGGTCGCAAGGTTGATGCGGCGCATGTCGAGATGAAGCGCCAAGACACACGAACGGGTTTCCTCTGCGGAAAGACGGGGCAAAACGTGTTCGACCGCAAGGCAAGGGTCGTGTTTGACGATGAGACGAGCAACACGAGCGGTGACATGGTGCTTGTGCTTACGGAGAAACCTTCAGTGGCTCGCAAAAAGGAGCCAAAAGCAAGAAGAAGAACTTGCGAGGCAAAGAGGCTCGTGCGAGAGACGCGAGCAACAAAGCTCAAGCCTCGACCTACGCGGGCGGCTTCGTACTAGCCGCAAGCGATGTCATTGACATCGATAGAGGTGACTGGATACTCGACAGCGGTGCGATCAGGCAAATCGTGAACGACGAGTCACTTCTTGTCGACTCAACTGTCTGCGTCCATGAAATTTTCATAGCAGATGATGAGTCACTGCGCTGACGCGTGTCGGTAATGTGCGCCTCGAGGGCCTCGAACGCGGTATAAAGATGGATATGACGCTGAACGAAGTCTATCTTGCGCCGCGTGGCGAAGAACATCGTCTCGTACGGGAAGCTGGAGAGAAAAGGGTTTGCTCTCGTGTACGACGGCAACAAACGCGCGCTAGCATGTGCGCAGGGACGGTACAGTCGTGTTCGACGTCGCGATCGACAGCAACGTTCTGTTTATTAATACGACAGCGACACGCGGGAGGCACAACGCTGAATATGCGATCATGGTTGCGTTTAAGAACGTTCGATGGCTGCTGATGCGGACGGCGTGCATAAAGCCTCGCTGCTGCATCGGCGGCGTCATCTGCTCGGACCTCAAGGGCCCAATGGCGCCGCAGATCGCCTCGGCAATCGATATATGGTCAACTTCATAGACCATAGGTCAAACTACTGCCGTGTGTTTCTCGCGCGCACGAAAGACGCGGCGTCAAAGACGCTTAAAGAGTTCCTCTTCCATTTCGAGCAGCTCTTCATTTGTAAATTTCAAGTGCTGCGAGGGACGGTGGTGGTGAGTACGCCAACGTTGACTTGTTCTGCAAGCGCACGGTTGTCGCGCGCCAAGTTTTGGGAGCGCGTAACCAGTCATATAACGGAAAGACAGACAGAATCAACCGGACGGTGCTAAACCTCGCTCTCCGCATGCTGTTCGCGTGCGCGCTGCTTTTGCAGTTCTGGGGCAACGCGATGCAGTACGCCGTCCACATCTTGATCCGAAGTCCATTCGAGAAAACGCGAAAAGGACGTCGCCTATCGAGGTGATAACGGGCAAGATGCCGGTTCTGTGGAGCATCGTTGTCTTCACAATCGTCGTGTAGCGTCTACCGCGACCTGTGCAAGAGATCGTTGCAGAAGCGATTGCAGGCTGGCATCGTCGTGGGCGTGAGCGAGGAGACGAAGGGGTACAAGTTCCTCCTCAGCGAGAGAACAAGGTGTTCGTCACACAAACGTGAAAAATTCCACCACGCTGTACGATGTGCAGAACGCACAACTGGAGCGCGCGATAAAGGTCGGCGATCGAGACCACAAAGCGCAAGGGACAGCCCAACAGTAGAGGCAGCAGTGGGGATCCGCGACGAAAATGAAGCAGTGCAAGATGGTGTCGGTGCTCGCAAGAAGAGCAAGAAGTCGTGGCCGGGACAAGCGCACAAACGCGCAGAACATCGAAGTGAGAGCAATTAGCGGCACGCCAGGAGAAGAGAGATGCGAGCGATGTGGTAATTAGCATAGTTTTTAGGTGAAAACCACTCAGCTATGGAGAGGCCATGCGCAGAACGAAGCGCGCGAAATTGCAGACAGCAATGCAAGAGGAGATCGCCGCGCTCGAGAGCAACGACGTGCGGCGCGTCACGAAGGGCAGTCCGGGCGTGAACGCTATCCACTCCAAGTGGGTCTGTGAGACCAAGACGGGAGCCGACGGATATCTGGAGCGATACAAGGCGAGGCTTGTCGAATGCGGCAATGAGCAAGTGATCGGGATCGATTACAATCTGACCTTTGACGCTGCGATGGACATATCGACGGAAAAGGTCATGCTGGCACTCGCAACGTGGGGCATTCCAGCCAAGCTCGGAGACACCCCGAACGCATACGTGCGTGCGGAGAAGGAAGCACACCTCGACATCTACTTGCAGTTTCCACGCGGTATAACCGTGTCGGATAGCACTCTGCGCAAGATCGGTTATACGCATCTAGGAGAGGGCGTCTTGGAGCTGCGGAGGAGCCTGTACGAGCTGAAGCAAGCCGGACGCCTCTGAAGCCAAGTACTACATGCGCGACTCAGCGATGCGGGGTACATGCGCTGCTTGTCAGACATGTGTCTGTATTACAATCGCGACGGCGGTGAGCTGGTCTTAGTCGGCCTCTGCGTCGATGACCTGCTGGCGATTGAAACGATTGTCGCAGCGGTCGAGAGTTTTTTCGCGAGTCTTGCGTAGCTGTCAATCGAGGACCTTGGAAACGTCAACAAGTTCTTGGGGATGCGTGTGGAGCTCGGAAGCGACGGCGCGTACCGTATCGACTAGGAGGAGGCCACCAAGGATCTCAATCGTGCTCATGGGATGAGCGATGCGAACTTGACAAAGACGCCGATTGGGGACGACTGTTACGAGGTGGTAGAGGACGAAGTCGCGCTGCTTAAAACGAGAGAGCACAGGTGGCGGTGCGAAGATCAATGCGTTCCATTCGCTCTTCGAGAGCCTACTGTGGGTCGCGCGACGCTCGCGTTCGGGACATTGCTTTTGCAATTGCACGAAGCGACTAGGCAGACGCATGCTTTTCAAGTGCTCGACTGGAAGCTCGACAAGAGTGGCGCGCGCTACCTCAAGGGAATCGCGACGCTCAAGCTCGAGATAAAGCCGGCGCGAACGGGTCGATACGCGCTGCAGCTAGAAGCCTACAGAAATTCCGACTTCGAAGCTGAAAAAGCGGACCGGAAGTTGCTAATGGAAGACGTGGTGCTGCTCAATGGAGTGGCGGTGTCGTGGATCTAAAAAAAACAGGGCAATGTGAGCCTCTATACGATAAAGGCTGAATTCGTCGCGGCGTTAAAGGTCGCTCGTGAGCTCATTGGCTTGCACCAGATTCTTGGAGAGGCGGGCATAGCGCCAATTGTTCCTATGCTGATGCACGTAGAATATCAGGCAGCCATCAGAAATATTGAAAGCGAAGCCTCCTCGATCAAGGTCAAGCACGTCGACTTGCAGCACAAGTATTTGCGCGATCTCGCTCGACGCGGTATCGTCACGGCGCAGCACGCTCGATCCGAGCTGATGATCGCGGACCTGGTGACGAAGGCCCTCGACGCAACCAAGCTGTCGACGCTGCACAGCCTGATGCGGCTTTAGAAAGAGCGCGACGCGGATGAAGGACTGGAGAGCGAGAACAGGCGAGATGGCTGCTCCATAGTGCGCGACATGGTGGAGGCGCGCATGAGGAGCTTAAGCTAGAAGGATGTTAAGGACGCTAAGGAAGGACAAGGAGGTTGTAGGATGGTGATATAAAAGACATGAGGCGTAATTGAGGGGAGTGTTGGAAGTTGAGGTTGAAGATCGTGAGTTGCGATTAGCGCTAGCCGTCATCTGATTATGGATGGACAGTGCAGGTGGATAGTAGACAAGTTGACTAGCAACGATCTATATCGAGATGGTGGGAGCACAGAGTGTTTGGAGAAAGAGTGGCTAGGAGACAGGTATAGAAGAAGACAAAGCAATCAATATACAGAATCCTATCGTCTTCCTACTGCAACAAGCTTACTTGCCAACCGTCAAACTATGTGCAAGATGTCTTATTAAGTAAAAATAGCCTCAGCCTTCTATTATGACGCGATCGCTCCCCTCCTCGCTGCTCCCCTCTTCTAGCTTGATACGCTGACGTCACGGGGGCACTGTTTTCAAGACACTTTGAAACAATAACTATATAGTAAAGAGTTAGTCAAAATTAATAATTGAAATAGTAGAGGTTTTTAATCAAAATTACATACGGGACCAAGCCATCCAATTAAATTATGGAGGTTACTTTCTACAAATGTTTAGTTTAGCCATATAATATTTAACTTTTTGCCAATCCCAAATATCATAATCCCAATCACGTAAATAGTAGACTCACTTGTCCATTCTATGTCAATACACAAATATTGAAGCCATTGACCAATATGACCATGAATGGTCCAGCCGATAATGCACTTAGCAGCGCAAACTTCTCGTGTCGCTACCGCATCTCATCGGCTCATTTGCGCTCCCGTCCTTGTGGATCTGGACAGTATGTGCTCTGTAATATTAGTGACAATCTTTTTGCCGTCTGCCGCATTGCGCTGAACGCTGTAGATGCTTTGGCACTTAGTCAACAGATTCAAATGAACGCGACCGTCACGCTACGACGTGACACGGAGATTTTTAACAAGTTGCAGTCGTTTTTACTGATTCCAAGCAATAGAATAAGTGATAGTGATACGTTGCAAGAGAATGAACTATTGTGGATCTCACGAAAAGCTGTGCGCGTCGCTGTGGCAGTGACACTGGAACTCGTGCCATTACTAACGTCTCAGTTGCAAGCTCAACTGCTGCAAAACGCTGATACGCGCTCTTTACTACGACAGACACTACAACGCAATGTCGTTGTTTGTACAGAAGCAAGAGTTACGATTCCGATGCTGGAGGATCTCGTGGTGAAGAGTAGAAGCGTAAAGGACGAAGAACCAAAGCTGATGACGTTCCGTGTCGTCTCGACATACCCTTGTGGAATCTTCGCACGAGTGACGTCTGGCACTCGTGTAACGCTGACGAATCCTAATGGATGTAGTCGAACCATCGAAAAGGATAGAGCAAGTGGTGACTTGACTCGGACAATTCCAGAAATGCAACAGTGCAAGGGAGTGGAGATAGGAGGCATGGATGATGAGCGAGCTGCTTTACGTGAGCTAATTTTGTTGCCAGTCGCACATCCGAGACTGCGCTCGGATATGGGGGTGGAGTTTCCAAAGGGTGTGCTACTTTGTGGACCACCAGGTGTGGGCAAGACGCTGCTTGTGCGTTCTGTAGTGTATGAGTGTCGTCAGGTCAAGGATACGTCTGGAGCGATGTTAAATCTAAAGCTGCAAGTCATTAATGGATCTGAAATCATGACCAGCGGACGCGGTGACGCTGAGCGAACTCTTCGTGCAACGTTTGAAATGGCAGTAGCTCACGCTCGCGGTGCCCAACAAGCTGCCAGTGTCATCTTTATTGACGAATTAGATGCACTCTGTCCAAAGCGCGAAGCTACTGGAGGGGGTGCGATGTCAGCACATAGCCGTATCGTCGCTCAGCTGCTAACATTATTGGACGGTGTAGAAAGTGGTCTCTCGCGTGAGAACGTAGTCATTGTCGCTGCTACGAACTTACCAAATTCGATTGATCCAGCATTGCGACGCCCTGGACGATTTGACCGCGAAATTTTTGTTTCCCCGCCCAATGTGGCGTTGCGCAAAAAAATCTTCAAGGTGCATCTTAAGCAGACACCTTACGCTCTCAGTAGTGGATCATCAGAAAGTGTGGAGCAGCTACGTGACTTCTTCCTCGACATATTAGCCGCGAAGTCAGTAGGCTATGTTGGTGCTGATATTGCTGCTCTGTGTCGAGAAGCTGCTATGGTAGCATCCACCCGGGAACTTGTAGCGCTATCTCATGACCGCGAACTTGAGCAATGGTGGGCAGACTGGAAGCGGAGGGTAGAGCCTCTCAGTGGTGTCCAGAACTTGTCGACAACACTTAGCTCTGTAGTCGCAGGTCGAGCTTGGCAAGCAAACCCGATCGCAATCATTCCGCTGTGGTTCCTTGCTAAACAGACCATGAATCGCGACTCTAACAAGAATGCAGGAAACAATCAGCAACGGCTACCACAGCTGGAGTATTTCCGCTTTTTACTAAAAAGCAGAGAAGAGCAAACTTTTGCTTCTTCGTGTCCCAACGAAGACGAGACGACAGTGGTGCAAACTTTTGAAGTGACCATGGAGGACTTTGACCAAGCTATGCAGACCGTCGTACCATCAGCTCTTCGAGGCGTCAGTGGATATACGTTAGTGTGACTCGCAATCAGTGTTTTCTACTTTCGCTGGATCATGCTAGATACTAATAGAGGACTGATGGCATGCACCATTCCTGTGTTGTGGTATTCTTTTGCAGGAAAGACTTTGAACGACAAGGCTGGGACAGTATCGGTGGTCAGGCAGAGACCAAGCTCGCGTTGCAGCAGGCACTTGAATGGCCCATCAAGTTTCCGCAGACTTTCGCCCGTCTTGGAGTCAAACCTTCACGCGGCATATTACTTTATGGTCCACCAGGATGCAGCAAGAGTTCCATTGTGCGTGCAGCAGCCCATTCAAGCGGAGCCACCTTTCTTTCGCTATCGGCTGCACAGGTATTCTCGCCGTTCTTTGGTGACGCTGAGGCCGCTGTGCGCCAAGTCTTTCGCGATGCACGTGCAGCACTTCCTGCAATTATCTTTTTTGACGAAATCGATGTGATGGTTGCCAAGCGCGAATTCGGTGGGTCTGGAAACGGAGAGGGTGGAACTTCCACTGCAATGCGCGTGCTCTCCACGATGCTCAATGAAATGGATGGTGTTGAATCAGCAGAAGGGCTTATGGTCATCGGCGCAACTAATCGGCCAACTTGTATTGATGCAGCTCTCATGCGACCTGGACGGTTTGACCGCATCCAGTTTGTAGACCTCCCGACAACACTGGACCGCGTTGATATCTTACGAATCCACTCGCGTCCAATGCCGCTACATGATGATGTCGATCTGATTGGTTTGGCAAGCCGCACACCATATTTCAGCGGAGCCGAACTTGAGGTACGCTGCCACCTGGAGTAGCTCGTTTCTTGAGAGAATTTCTGCTAACCGGCGTGTTTGTTTGTGATTTGGTGGTAGAATCTCTGCCGTGAGGCAGCGCTGCTAGCTCTTCGCGAATCCCTGGATGCCAAAAATGTTCGCATGTGCCATTTCGACAAAGCTCTTCGTTGTGTAACCCCCATATCATCAAAAGAGTCAATGCGTGACTATATCAAGTTCGCTAAAGCAATGGGTCATGTATCATAGATTAGCAAAGCAATGTAGTTTATGCAACCTTTCTTACGTTCTCCACCTCCTTCCTAATCGAGTTGATATGATGACCATCTAGGCGAAAAGCTCGCCTCCATCTGTAAAGCTCACCTTGTGCTCCAGTGGCATTCCGTCACTTTTCACGCCTGCTTCTTCCATCTTGTCCACAACTCCAAATCCCTCGACTACTTCCCCAAAGACCACGTGCTTGCCGTCAAGAGAAGGTTCCGCTCTCAACATAAAGCAAAATTGACTCCCATTTGTATTAGGACCAGCATTGGCCATTTGTAGAATGTATCTCTTGGAATGCTTGAGTCTCAGTCCATTAGGTTCGTCATCAAATTTGCTGTCGTAAATACTACGACCACCTGTTCCTGTACCTTTTGTATAATCTCCACACTGGACAACAAATTTCTTGACAATACGGTGACACACACTGCCCTTAAAAGAATAGTCCGGTCCCTTCTCACCCGTCGTCAAAGCTCGAAAATTCTCCACTGTTTTAGGCACCTGATCAGCATACAATTCAGCCGTGATGCGACCGACGTAGACGTCATCAATAGCCACATCTAACCACACATATTTACGATTTTTTTTAAGTGTCCAAAGCCGCAAATTGACGGGAACAACAGCCTTTTTCGCCTTTGTATGACCTATTTGGTCTTGAAATAGGCGCTTTGTTTCATGCTTCAAACGTGGACTCTGTACTGGCGTGTCAAGAAAGACATTCATCACCATGAGGTACGTAAATAAGAGCACTCCCATGCCCAGGAACACCGCTTTGCGCGTGCTCAAGAAGCCGGGAGCCATGACACGTCGAGATCTAAGGTTTTGTATAATGGATGGTTTGGCTCCTTTACCCGTCTAAACCGATCCAAGATGGGTAGTACGCGGATAAAACGTACATCTTGCACTTATTGTAAGATGTACGTTTTATGTCCGTAGTATATCTGCATGTCTCCGAGTTGCACAGAACGTCCATTTCATTTCATGAGACGTGGGTTAACAGCTGGAAAACTGATAATGTGGAACGTCACTCTACTTTGTCATTCATAATGCTAAAACTCAACTATATAATGTCACTATACAGTATCACAGTATGAAGACACAGTTCTTTTTCCAGTTTCTGATTTTATAATGCTATGCTCATAATTCTAAATTTTTATTCTTCTAAAAACTTGAAACTGCTCTGTGTACGTACACAAATTAAAGTGGAGCAATATGATGTACACCACATTTCACATTTTGCCTTTCACACTTCGAGCAGAGGACGATCTCCCCTCCATACAAAGAGATACATTAATAATGAGTGGCATTACTTCAAGTGAGTGGCATTCCGTGGCCGATCGGTTAGCACTTTTTATGCAGCGTTATGCTGTATCAGATGACAAGATTGCAAGTACATTAGGCTGGTCAAGAGATCAATTACGTGCTTATTTATCACCCAAAGCTCGACGTCTCAAAGCTCCGTCTGATGTACGTAATTGTGGTCCAAATTAACTGATTATAGGTCTCTCACTGCTGTGACATGTCTTGTAGATTGCAGATACAGCGGTAGACAAGTTATTGATGCGATATCGTGTCGCGCTGGCGCATCAAACGCTCAAGAATGCAGTGGCTAAGCCACTAAAGCCTCTAGATGGTGGTTCTAGGAGATCTACTGCACCTACGCAGGTTTAAGGAGCATCGAGGACATCATGAATGAGTAAAGAAGATACTAAGTGTTGTGTTTGTGGTGTTTGATGCAGTTTGGACGCAATACAGTCGATAAAAAAAGTCTTATCATCGCTGATGCAACATCTATGCAATCGGTTTGTCCATTGTTGTTGTTTACTGTGCTAGTAGAGAGAGATGGTTGATGTGCTCATGTTATTTGAATGTAAAAGGCTGCATCAGACGTGGAGCAGACAGTTACAGGCAATAGAAAGCGAAAACGAAGGACTATTGTACTTCCGTTGGATGCGTCAGCTGCAAAAGTAAAGGCTATGGTGTCTAAGGAAAAAGGCAGTAAGGCCAATGTGGATTCACGATCGACAATACATCAGTGTGATGTATGGAAGACGCGGCATTTGGCCAAGACGGAGCTTATTTGCCCCATTCGTCTTGACGTGGACTTGGATGGCATTCGATTTCAGGACACATTCCTTATTAATGCGTAAGTTTATACTGAAGCGGCATTGGTTGTGTTTGCGAAAAATAGCTGACAGTGAGTGCATGTTTGCACATAATTGCTGGCGACAGAGCTTTAACTACTTGCTCGCCAGAAAGACTTGCTTCCCAAATAACCCAGGATGAAAACATGAGCGAAAAACATAGAGTGCGTGCTGACGCTTTACAAGTCAGCAAGTTTGTTTTGCTCCTACTGATGTTGTATATGACGTAATATGAGCAGGATGCTATTGCCGAGTCGATCCGGCGACAAATTTTCATGTTTACCTCGAATTTAAGCATCAAACTTAGAAATGGGCGGCTATATCCCATCTACCTGGATCTCATTATCGACGGGTTTTCTGTACGTGACGTTGACAGGAGAGTGATAGCGCACGTATCTAACTTTTGCTTTGTTTCGATGCACATGCAGTTGCGCGATCAGTTTGAGTGGGATATTTCCAACGACTGTAATGCCGCCCAGACGTTTGCTAGTACGCTTTGTGCAGACTTGAATCTGCCGAAAGCATTTGAGCCAGCCATCGTATTTTCAATCTTCGAGCAGGTGATGGCTTATCGCTTTGCATTAAATGGGCACAAATGGATTGGGGCGAACCCGTTTCAAGTAAAAGGTACCGGCGTCACCTTGCCAACTTCCAGTGCAGGGTATATTGAGACAATGCCACCCCTTGACGATATCGTACGTGACACAAACGACGCAAGTAAGTACAAGTGTTGGCGTACTATGTCGTTTATTACCGCTGACTAAACTATGTTCATCGTCGTAGACTTATGGCAGCCCGTATTGAGTGAGCTATCTAGCGAAGAGAGGACATATTTATCTGCAAGATTAACGGCTACTCGAGCGTACGTTCTCATTATGGTGTACAATTGATTTTGCGAACTAACGCTAGGAATTTCTTACAGCTCTACAACTTGGAAGAGCACGCCAGTGGTCTCACAAACTAATGGGCGGTCAAATCGACCAGCTCGGCCAGTATTAAAGGTGTGTTTATCTGCACTCTTTTGCTTATTGCTCTTGAGTACTTGCCAATGATAATTAAACATCATTGCATCCCTAATGTTCACAGGAAAACCGCCTTCCCCGACCAGTCAACCCTTTCATCGTATACTGTCAAATGCAAAAGGAAGCCTTAGGCAAGACACGACGCTCTGCGTCCGAAGCAAGAAAAATTATGGGCGATATGTGGCGCAGATGCACAGACGAGGTGAATCTAGTACTTGACTCAACATCTATACCCAGCTACGGTCTTATCAGTAGCTTGCTTGTATTTCAGGAAAAAGAGTATTACGCGCATTTGACGGAAGCGGAAAATGAAAGAAGACGTCGGGATCATATTTTAGATATGCGCGACCGCGCAATTGCCGACTGGGAAAAGGAAGAAGCACGCCGGAAAGGTCTCTTGGCCGCTAGCACATTGGAGGCATCTGCAGACCACTTTCGCGGTCTTTTGCTTGAAGTAAGAAGCAGCTGATTGTCCCCTTTACTCCATCTGTACGCTATTCATACTATGTATCTTCCCGTCTTAACATGTCATCAATTACGTGTGCGCTGTGAAATTAGAACTACATGAGCGAGCGACACGAAGTAGACATGAATAGACAAGAAGAGTTAGAAAGTGATCCTGCTGAAGAGGAGGATGAGGAAGACGAGGAAGACAACGAGATGGCCTAGAAGAGTACAACTGCTACGCGAGGATCAACACACCAATACAACGGAAAGCGCCAAACGAGCAGACATTACAAAAGTGCCGCCGCGCTCCCCAAAGAGGCCCGGTAAAATCCACCTTTTGTCCAGGGTTGGTGTGGCATTCTTTGTCAACACAGCTAAGTTATCCTTTAACGGAGCACGACTCACGCTTTTGCTTTAGCTGTAGATCTCAATCCCTGTGGCGTCCAGAATTTCAGACCGCAGCAGTGCCAGGAGCTCGCCTCTGTCTCGCGTGTTGATCCAGTGACCATTTTCAGCGTCGTATTCGTAACGACGAGGACCACTACGAAATCGACACATTTTCAGACTTCTCAGACCACTTCAGCTCCAACAAATGTCTCATAATCAGCCGTACCTGATTGGAGAAGACCACCAGATCTGCCTATTAGGCACCTGACGATTGATCACCCATGTACCATGTTCACCCAAGTCGATCTTCAGGACCCCTTGCTATTATTGTCAACAATCAATCACGAATCAGGTGAGTTATTGCAATTATTGCAATACATTATAACGTACAGAGAAGACAACGTCGGACTCGTCAAGCATCTCATCAATACCATCCAACCAGCTTTGAATACCATGCAGCGTCTCGTCTGCCAACTCCATAAACTCATGTTCCGTCATTGGGAGTGCAGGTGTTAAAGCATCTGAGGAGAAATATGCGACATGTCGAGAGCTCCAATGAGATTTCATTGGTGTAGTATTGAAGTTACAGTGATCTGGCATTGCAGTCAATGTCTTGAAGCTTGAGATCGTAGCGCGACGACACATCACACGCAACGAAGAGAGAGCACTACGACGCATCATTTTAGTGGATGGCAGGAAGGTTAGTGAGCAGGTAGTAATAATGATTGGTTAATATGTGAATGGTATTTTAACCAATCATAAACAAGGTGTAAAGGTTTGTATACTTTTACTACAGTAAAATGTTCATAATCCAATGATCTGATTGGACAATATTGTTCATTGTGTATTATGGCTAAAAAGCGACGTCATGTGTCAGCACTTCGAGCGCCGGTTAAATCCCGCGAAGCTGCAGCTGATTTGGAAAAATCATTACATAAAGTACAAACGTATTATCATCAATTAAGTGCCGATGTTATGGAAATTCCAGCAACTTTAGATGACGCACTATTACTTCACAGTCTCATGGCGCTTGTGGTACAAAATATGTTATTAGTTGTCCAGGTACTTATTTAAGTAGCCATGTATAGTTTATTGAAAGTAAAAACAAAACACTCAAATATGGTTATCTTTTTTTGTGATATAGGGCGTCACAATTGCACAATTTGCGCTGCTCATTGGAATTGCTGTCTGGATGATGCGACAAAACCTTGTGAAGATGCTTTTACCACGTGTTTCTCCTGTAATTACCAGACTGACAATCCAAATCTTGGTGCTGACTGGAGCTGGAGCTGTCTATTATTACTATGAGCTGTCATTGAAGACGATACAGGTCGTGAAGGTTGCAATCATGTACGTTATTGCTAAGTCCATACTATCTTGAAGACAGTAAATGTGATGGTTAATTACTTTGCTTAATGTTTTCTTTGGTTCTTTGAGTCCATTGTAGATGTTTGCTGGATATAGCATTGATATGTTATGATAGAGTCACGAAGGGTCGGCTTTCTCGCGAAGTGATTGTCTTGTCTGCCATTGAACACACTTTATTGGTTGCGGGCTTTTCATATTGTCCAGTTCATGTAAGGACTGTCATGGTGGATCTGTTCAAGTGGAGGAACTGACGCTATGAAACTGTTGTATACGTAGACAAACGCAATTGTCATTGATATGACTGCATTCACGCTCACAACAATGACAGTATTTGTGCAAGTGGTAGTTATACTATCGACAAAATACGTTGTGCTTCATTGCTTCGACTCGGACATGAGTGGCACTTTTGTACGAACGCAACAGCGTGGAGAAAAATTGCTCGAGAGTTTATGGCAGGACATCGACCGCTTTGAACCAGAACAGCTTCTTGCGGGCTTTGCTGAAGCGTCAAATGTATGTCTGCATTGATGCTATATCAGAGTCCACACCATGCTAAGGTGCTTTTCATTGTAGAAAAAGAAGGTCAAGAGCAAGGCACTCGCCAGCACCAAAGAGACAAAAAGCAAAATATGCAACAACACCAGCTCGGAATTAACACAGCACACCCAGCAATCGATTCTCTACGAGCCGCGCGTGCAGCTTGCAATTTTAGTGCTGATCCAGATGCTGCTTCTGATGTTTCAACTTTTGCTTTCCGCCTTCGTCCTGGATTCGTGGGAGATGATCAGGTACATTACCCCATTTGAACCTTCCTTTGCTGTAATCTGATCTCACGTACTGACTTTTATACTGTTTTTTCTTTGGTCCACAGCGCGCTTGTAATAAGCAGCTCCCGCCTACTCTGGATCCTTGGCCAAGTCCGACGAAAGATGCTCTTTCGCCGCACAATCAGACCCATCGACTCCAAACTCAAGATCGCGTAGACTTGTTGTTTAATTCATGCCTCGCTTCGCTTTACCATTATCATTGCCAGCAGTAACAATTGTACCAGTAGGCTTTCGAGTTTTCTCCTCTGCTTCCATAGCAGCGGCGCAGCAGTTGTAATACTGCTTGATGACGGCTGCGCACTTGCTTTCCTGGTAATCGTGGCGCTGCAAACAAAACTGGATAGCGCAAGCCTGTTTCTTGCAAACGCGCTCGCATAGCTCTTTCTCAACAGCCATATCTATTCGATTGTAAGGCCAATCAGTCTCGGTCTATCATCCAACGACATTGAATAAAATCTCAATAAAGTACTTTGCAGGGTTCAAAGCTAGAGCAACGAGTGAGTGCTTTAGTAAATTATGCAGGTAGTATGCATGACTGAGCATCAACGCAAGCGACCTAAAGCACTTACACAACTCTCAAGCCTAACTGCAAACAAGAAGCGTGCCAATTGCTTAATGCCTGCTACATCATACACCGAAAACGTCCTTAGACAGTCACGTCTTCTTCCGCGACGGTCGTGGGGTTGGCTACGCAAGTCTTCTCAGGAGGCGTGTAGTCGGGAACGCCACGCGTGAACGACGGATGCTTCGTGATAACAAAGTAGTTAAAGTACGCATTCGCAAAACCTGCAAGTGACACTAGCACGCCATAGATATGGCACATGCCAAATGGAAAGATAGAAATCCTGTGTCCAAAAGCATTGTCAATTCAAGACACAAGACACAACAGAGAAAACACCCAGCATTCTACTAGCTACGTACATGCTCAAAAAGAGACATCGGCCCCAGGGACTGTACATAAATCCAAAGCTACCACGCAGTATTTTATCAATGGTAGCTGTTCGAAACTCATAGCCCACCAAAAGCAATGCAAAGAAGCTACAGCCAGTCAATCAATCAATAAAAGAACAAATCAGATTCATTATAATCACCTTCACAATACCATCATTGTAACCAATTAATATGTACTGTACGTACATGGTGTAAATGACCGAGAAGACGTCAGATATAGCTGAGAATGCCGACTTTGTCTGGATAATTTGCCCTATAGCCAAAGCAATCATGCATCCAGCCATCGTCAAGTTTGCAAAGCGCATTGCTGATAACACACCAGACACTGACGAGCCCATGATACTACAGTAACCCCATCATAACCCCTTACTTAAATGTTAGCAGCATCTACTTACGACTGTATCATCTTTCCTTTTAATCGTACATTTCTCTCGTTTTTGCCTTCAATTCTTCCCATACTTCACTAATAGAAATTGCGTTTTCTGTATCCGTTACTTTATTAGCAGCTGATGGTGGAGGAGGTGGAAGTTTCAAGTCATCAGGATTCAAAGGCGGTAGCTTGCCGTACATTGTACTATTCGTATAGTCACACACAGTTAATTACAAACCTATAAGATACTTTCTTTCTTTCTTTCTTTCTTTCTTTCTTTCTTTCCAAATAGACATACTCAGTGCCCAGAGGTCCAGCGTTGAGTACAGTACCTCCCAATACAGAGGAGACGTTGGCTTCACTGGTCATGTTCCGACTATTTTCTCTTTGTGTACGTACGTACACAAATTCTTTCTAGAATCTGAATTTATGCCAACTATGCTTCTGATTGGTTAAAACTAGGCATCTCGTTTTCCAAATGGCAGTACTGACGTATAGAGAACGATAGTCAACATTCGATATTTACAAATAACTTAGATAATTGTCCCAATAGTAATTCGCTAGACAGGACGTTACTGATACATTACCTCAAGCATATCCATCGATGACATTGATGCAGTGGAAGCTGTTGATTCACCACTGCATTCACTCAAACTCCTTCGTTTTCGTGGAATACTAGCCACTTCTTTTGCTAATGCAATGTGATTCCTCCTCTTGAGTGTCTCCACTCGGCCTTTCATCGTCTCCATCTTTTCCAACCATCGTTCATCCTTTTCAAAATCAAAGAGGCGAGACTGTGAGTGTTCAATCCTAGCTACAAAAGCAGCGTAGCTTGCAACAGGAGCACGTGCTCGGACAGAAACAGGGGTCGGTGGAGCGACAGAGAATGATTGCAGCATTGCATCAGAACACGTGCGAGAGCTTGAGGCGTCTTTGGACACATTCTTCCTCTTTGAGCAAGCAGCCAGATGAAACTCACGTGATTTTGGCTGCGGAATCTTGCTCACAAGGTTCAAAACGATCGAGGAAGGAGGTCTCGTGACTGCTAATGCTTTCCTTGACTCGTGAATACTCTGCTGGCTATTTTCCTGCTGCTTTTCTTCCTTCTTCTGCTCCTGTTTCACCTCCTTTAGTTGTAGCTCACACTGACTCACGACAGACTCGTTCCGGACTCGACAAACAGTCGAGTTACTCACTACAACTTCCTCAGCTTTTGCCAGTCCGTCGTAATACGTCACTAGCCCATGAACATTGCCACGTTCCAAAGGCTTGACCGAGGGGTTTGTCAAGTTTACACTTGTCGAAGTAGTCATGTTTTCAAACATGTCAATGATACTTTGGACTTTCATCCTATAATTGATAGCGACTGCTGCTTGTGTGGCTCTCTTATGAAGCTGTAATCTCTCAATGGCACAAAGTAAAAAAGAAAGCACGTCAAGAGACCTTCCGACCGCAGGTTCAACAACAAGGCGACGAGAATTCGTACGCAATACCTAATAATCGACTTGAGTCAATGGCTGAGGAATGACGCACTACTTTAGTCAGTCTTTATATAGTTATTGGATTGGTTATAAACATGCACAGTAGGATTTTCCAACAAGCCAGTTTGGGTGCGCAGGGCGGACCGATCGAAGGTGATCGACGTGAGCCCCTTGTCGTATTTATTTACAGGTCATTTATTATTAATAGCAGCCCATTGCACCTCAAATCTTCTTGCTCGGTCTGGTCTGTGTCTTGTTGCGTTCGCACGCATGCGCGCCACACCACATGTCCATCACATGTGTGTATGACACACCATATCACCCAAGCCATGTGTGGGCACACAAAATAACGATCTCGTATGGACCTCCAAGTCGGTGCTCGAGTGGCGTTCGGTGCTGGCAAGACAGGCATTGTACGGTTCATAGGAGAGACAGAATTTGCTAGTGGTGAATGGGTTGGTATTGAGCTTGAGAAGCCAGAGGGTAAAAACAATGGAGAGCTCAATGGTCGTGTCTATTTTACGTGTGCGTCGAATCACGGACTTTTTGTCAAGAAATCAATGGTTCGATCGGTCTTATCGTCACCTTTGGCTGCTTCCAAGACGCCCTCAAGTCGTCGGTTGTCTAGTGCAAGCAGTCGGTTGTCTAGTGCAAGCAGTCGGTTATCAGGGCCGAGTTCATTGTCGAATTCGTCGTCTGGTGTAGGCGCTAGCAGCTCTCGAGTCTCGTCACGAACGTCTTTGAGTACAGGAAGTAACCGAGCAAGCCTTTCAACTGGTAGAACGAGTCTTTCACGTGATAAACGATCATCTATTGGTGGTGCAATGTCCGGAAGTCCAGCGACGTCGAACGATCAATTGACAAAAGAAAGAGCAAAAGTTTCTCGACTGGAAGAAGAACTTGAGCAGAAGAACCGACACGTCGAGCAATTGAGACAAAGTGTGGCTGTAATGAAGGAAGCAGCTATTGTTAATAATGATAAGATCAAGCTGTTGGAGCAGCAAGGACAGCTACAAGAGAAGCAGCTGGAAGAGGGGGTGCTGGAGCAGCAACAGGTTGATGCTGATGGAGATGAGATCATGGCAAATGTTGTGGATATAACAGAAGAGAAGTTGTCGGTGCAGGAAGAGTTGACGCAACAGATCCAGATCATTCGAGAAGAGGCCGAAGAACACGTGCAATCAGTACGTTCCGAGCTAGAAGACCATATCATTGAGCAACAAAATGAGCACGAGAAGCAGCTGAATCAATTACGACTTGAAAATGCGACGTATGCTTCGGAGGTGAAGGCGTTGGAGGCGGAAGTTGCACAGCAGAAGGTGCGCATTGCGGCGTTCACGGCGGCTGAACAGAAGAAGGCGGAGGAAGTCGCAATGGCTGTGGCTAAGTCGAGCTCTGGTGCTCGTAAGGTGGAAACACTAGAAAAGCAGGTGGCTGAGCTTCAGGATATGATTGAGATGATGACGTTGGAGAAGGAGACCGTTGAGATGGACAAGGAAATTGCGGAGGAGCATGCAGAAGAATTGCAGCAGGAGGTGGAGAAGCTCAAAGCTGCCATGGCGCTGTCGGCGACTACAGGGTCAGACTACTTGGAAGGATCTTCTGTTAGTGCCGGGGACTTGGAGAACGAGAATAATAAGCTGCGAGCGGCTGTGAAGATGCTGCACGAGCGTGGGTCTGAAGAAAAGGCTGAGCTTAGCAAGAAGTTGCGTCAGGCCCAACGTGAGAATACTGAACTCGTGTCGTTGAGGGAGGAAGTGGAAGAACTCGTACGTGACAGTGGTTGTGCTTATATTGATATAAGTGTTAGTACTAACATGTTAAGTATGCTTCGGTTTGTTTACATATAGACCACAAAGAAAAGCAAGCTGGAAAGTGAAACAGAGGAATTGAAGGAGATGCTGGACGTTGCGAACGCATACGAGACAATGGTGGAAGATCTTACAGAGAAAAATCTGACACTTGGTGAGAAACTTGCAGAGCTGGAGACCACGGTGCAGTCGCTTGAGTCATTGCGCGAAGTGGACCAGGAAATGGAACATCAGCATACGGAGTATGAAGCAGAGCTGCGGGATGAAATTGACTCACAGCGTGCAACATTGCAGGAATTGAAACAGACGGCATTGGAGCAGAAGACCGTCCTCGAGGATAAGGAGCGCACTATTGCTCGCTTCCGTGACCTTGCGCACAGTCACCGGGAGGAGATTGCGCAGCTGAAGGCAAAGCTTCGTGCCGAAAGTGGTGCTGTGGAATCTTTGAAGGATACGGCACATATGGCGCTTAATCAAACGATGGGGCTGCGCGCGCTGGTAGCAGCTGCACGTGAGCATGAAACCGAGGCAGCCAAGCAAAAGATTATTGCTGATCAGGCAAGGCTGGAGAACTCGTTCCTGCGTGCTGTAATGCCCGACTCCATTTTCACAGAATCCGACCAAAAGGTGCTTCGCATCCGATTGACGCTTGGACGTATTAGCGGTAAGTCCGACATTTTGCTGCAGCACTTGAAGAAGGATCTGGACACTGCCGCGCAACAGCAACCTTCCAGTGGCCAAGGGGAAGACGACAAGGATGAGGGTGTCTCTATTGCGACAGTCAGTGTCGAGCAGTTAGTCCTGGGTGACAAGCTAGCGGCGGTCTCGTGCCAAGCAAAGGAAGACCTTTTTATGCTTGAGTGTCACCTGACTACAGAAGACGAATTTACTCAGGGTTGCTCTGCGCTCGACACTTCGCAGACGGCGGCATTGGAGAATGTGTTGGACTCAGCGTTGTCGGCGTTCTCCGAGGGTTCCTTGTTGAATGGTACTCGCGGTGGCAGCGACGCTGCATCGTTGTATGAGCGTCTCGTCCAAATCTCGGAAGAATGGCACAGTGGCCGACTCATCCAGGTTTCGTCAGCTTTGGGTGCTGAGAGCTTCGGTGCTCGCTGTGCAGTGATGAAATTGCGTGCGAGAAAAAGTGTGGCCAAGCTGGCGTTCTCAATCTCATCGATGGTGACATTCCTACGCAGTACAAAGAGTTTGCTAGAAAGCTTGGAGATGCCTGATGACGAACATACTGCTGCGCTGCGCACAGAATTGATGCCGTTTTTGGATACGTGCCTGGGAGAGCTACTCTCGGTATTTAGTGTGGCGCAACTTTTTTACCGTCGTGCTGAGATCGACTTGGCGGCTTCGGACGATGACCTTGACGGACTTGTGGCGGCGGGTGGTGAGGCGATCACTTTCGTTCAAGGTTATGCTATAGAGGCACAGTCATTGTTAGCTACGCTGCAATCGCATCTCGGCCGAGACGGTCTGCTGGAGCATACCATTACGGCAGAAGAGTTGGTGGAGTTCATGCAGCAGAATGTGTATGACCACGCCGTGGCATTCAAAGAGAAATTGGCATTGCTGTACAAGCTGGTGTGCCGCGGTGCCTTCACTGATGCGGTGGCTCCTCGTATGCGCAACGAGCACACTGATAGTAGTAATGGGCGGCCACAGTGGCGAATTCGTGCGCAAGCCATTCATCAAAAGTTGGCGGATGCGTCAGCACTTCGGAGCAATTTAACGCAAATGACTGAGCTGTGTAATGCGCTGCACCAGCGTATTCGTGACTTTGAGCGTGCAGACAGCCAACATCGCGTGGTGGCCCAGAAATTGGAAAGCCACGTGCTTCAACTGACTGAGAGCGTAACTATGATGACAAGCGAGAAGGCGCAATTGGAATCGCAGCTCTCAAAGGAACGCGAGCAGTTTGTCGTTGCACTTGACGAATCCAACAAGGAAAAAACGCTGTTAAATTCTCTGAACCGAGATCTGCGGAAGCAACTGAAGCGCACGAGTGACGCTGGCAGCAGCGCGAAGACTGGAAGTGGCGGTAGTGGAGGTATGAAGGGATCGGCGATGAGTGGAACTGACGCTGAAGCCTTCCAGCGTGCTTTTCACCAACTGTACACTGAACTGCACACGGTACGGGCCGCTCTCGCGAAGGAGCGATTGGAGAAACTGCTTGGACCGAATACCGATTTAAACACGTGTACTTTGTTGCCAAAGAAATCGGATCGGTTGGCAAACTCATTAATGGAGGTGGCTACGTTCTCGCGGCAGGTGAAGGCTCAACTATCAATGCCACGTCTTGTCAATTTGAAGCAAGCCGCTTCTCCCACCGGTGCGTCCGCACGCACACAGCTTATGGCTGAGCAACTGCAGCAGTCGCGTGCACAACGAGATCTGACAGCCCTTCGCGTACGCGTTGGTGCTGCGATGCGTGACGATGGCTGGGGCCATGATGTGACAAACGCGATTACTCGTGGCGAGCGTGTATTCGGCTGGCAACCGCCTGAGACGGAGCGACCACCCGTGTTATTGGGGCGCGTGAAGCTTGGCAGTAGTATTGCAAGCAATCCGCAGCATGTGCAGCTCGTATTGAATCGATCGGAGGTGAAACATCTATCAGAAGCTTTGGTGTGTTGAGTGATGGAGAAGAGACAAACAAGGAGATAAGGGTCACAAGGACTTTGTTTGAATTGTTTGTTCACATATGAGCTGATTTGGAAAATGGGTCTTTGGAGTCTTGTTATGTTCCTTAAGACGTCGTCTTAGAATCTGTATCCATGTATCGGTACGTATGATAAGGTCGCCAATAGCTCTGACGTATAATTTTTGAGGCACATGACGGTAAGTGCGTCACTTGAATATTTCGTCAGCAAAAATTAATTGAAAAAAATAATTTACTATATTGTCACAAAATGTTTTTTTTTAAATATTTCCCATTTTTATTTTATTTAAATTGACTAACCTCAAATTCTGTGTAGGTAAATACTCTTGTACTTTTAATCGCTTAGTATTATTTGTAAGCGAAAAGGGGTGTCATCCATATGTTAACGGCCATTGTCCGACAACAATTGCCCAACGCCAGAAAGAAAAAAATGGGCAACGTTGCAAGTTCTGAGAATAATTGGGATGGCTCGACCATCCCTTCCCAAGCAAACAAGGTTGCAATTGTCACGGGTGCTAACTCGGGCATTGGATTTGAAGCTGCAAAGGTGCTGGCAATGCACGGAGCGCATGTGATTCTCGCTTGCCGTAACGAAAAACGTGGACGAGACGCTGAGAAATTGATAACTGAAGAACTTGTCAAAGTACCTGATGATGTCGTTGGGTCCGTGGAATTTATGCAAGTGGATATTGGTGACCTTTCTAGTGTCCGTAAATTCGCACGTGCTTGTCATGAGAAGCTTGATCACCTTGATCTACTGATCAACAATGCAGGTGTTGCATTGCCTGTTCAGAGTCACACACCTGATGGATTGGAAGCACAATTTGCAATCAATTATTTGGGACACTTTTGCTTGACGAGTGAATTACTCGACTTGCTACGTCAATCAAAAAGCCAAGCTCGCGTGGTTAATGTCGGTAGTCTTTTGCACTATTTTGCTTGGATGTTTATGAACTTTTCGACGCTGGGACGCACGCATGGTGGGTGGTCCGACTATTCGAGGTCTAAATTGGCCATTCTATTGTTCACCTTTGAGCTGCAACGACGTTTACAGTCGGCACAGGTGGAGAATGTGATTTCGGTGGCCGCCCACCCGGGTAGCACGTATACCAACATGTGGAACCGCTATTACGAGAAAACGTTCTATCCTTGGCTAGCCGAGATTTTGGCATGGCTAACATCGTGGCTTCCGGTCATGACGCCACAAATGGGTGTACTCCCTATTCTGTATGCTGCAACAATGAAGAATGTCAAGGGTGGAGAGTATTATGGTCCCAATGGGTTGCTGCACGTGCGAGGCTATCCTACACTCGAAACTGGTGCAAAATCGAGCCACTCATTGGAAAATGCAAACACGATCTGGACGCTTAGTGAAACTATGCTGGGTGAGAAGTTTAAGCTGTAAGAGGCATTGGAAGATGTAAGGACATGGTAGCTAGCAACCATGCCAGTCAGCTCGGGGAATTGCGTGCAAAAGTATTGATTAGTGTTAACTCAACGCAATAGCCGACATGTTTTTGTTTCTCAATTAATAGCCAATCACAGTATTTACAATGCATTTTTCTACCTATCACTGGTCGAATTCGACGCCCTCCAGTGAAGAGCTCAATAAAGAAGCATCGTCTCACGTCTCTTCCTACTTCTTTACCAATTGGTACTCGTGCTATGAAGGTCAAGACAATTTCTCGCGTCGAGAAGGACTTTACACAAGAAGTGCAGTCGGACAAACTCAAGGTTTTTCGCAATTACGACCCGGCTCTTCATCCATTTGAACGCCCACGCGAGTACACGCGTGCTCTAAATGCCGTGAAAATGGAGCGATTGTTTGCCAAGCCATTTATTGGAGCTCTAGACGGCCATTGCGACGGTGTGACAGCGTTGGCTACAAATCCCAAGAGTCTCGTGGCGTTTGTGAGTGGTGCTGCAGATGGTGAAGTGCGTGTGTGGGATCTGCCTCGACGCAAATGCGTGTGGAACGTGTACGGCCACCGCGGCTTTGTGCGAGGTCTGGCCGTTACTCCAGATGGCAATACTTTCTACTCATGCAGTGAAGACAAATCAGTGAAGCAGTGGGCGTTGCGTGTCAAGGAGGAGGACGAGGATGCTCCGACTGCATTGGCCACTTATACTTCCAAGGAGCCATTTCTGTAGGTGGCAGTACATATCATTGAAGGCGTGCAGTATACAAGAACTGATTGATGTTTTTGTATGTGTGCGTGTCATTTGTTTTTAGCGGCATTGATCACCATTGGTCTCAGAATATGTTTGCAACGTGCGGCTCCAAGGTGCAAATATGGGACCCGTCCCGCTCAACACCTACGCACGAATTTGCGTGGGGTGCGGACTCGATTAACTCTGTGCATTTTAACCCGGCAGAAGCGTCACTGCTGGCTTCCACTGGATCTGATCGGAACATCACTTTATACGATATTCGCATTGCGTCCTCTATGCGTAAAATTATCATGGGAATGCGGTCCAACGCACTGGCATGGAATCCCATGGAGCCCATGAACTTTACAATCGTAAGTGTATCTTTTTCGCTTTGCTACTTCTTGCTCGGGCTTTTCCGTACACGCTAACTTGGCAGTGGGACTTGCACCACCTGACAATATCTGCTAGGCCAATGAGGATCACAACTTGTACACGTTTGACATGCGCAAGATGGAACGCGCGATGATGGTGCATAAGGACCACGTTTCAGCAGTGTACGTCATTTTATCGAAATTTGACAGTAGCCAATATCTTACTCTAATGACGTGCGTGCTTGTGTTTTCACAGTATGGACGTGGTGTACTCTCCGACGGGTCGGGAGTTTGTGGCGGGCTCGTATGACCGAACCGTTCGCATCTTCAGTGTGCGCTCGGCAAAAAGCCGCGAGGTTTACCACACCCAGCGGATGCAGCGGTACGTTCGATCAAGTAACCTCTTAGCGCTTTGTGCGATCGGTCGTGCTTTCTGAAAGCTCCCGCCGCCTAATTATGACAAATTGGTACCGGCACATCGCCGTTTCGCCATTGACATGACGTGAACATTAGCGTCAACATGGGCGGCGTGGAAACGCATAGCATGCAACTGCTGTCAGAAAGCCGCTTTCTTATTCGATTTGACACCGTTTCGATGCTTACTTGCTTGGTGCTTTGTATGTTTGCAGAATCTTCTCTGTCAAGTTCAGCGCTGACTCTAACTTTGTTCTTTCCGGAAGTGACGACACTAACATTCGCATTTGGAAGGCAGAAGCCTCCAAGAAACTCTCAAAGGTATGTTTGCGTGTTGCGTTCCAACTTTAGTGGACCGTTTACGGTCATTTCGTTATAATGTAGTGCTGAAGTTGCTGACGTGTGCTCTACGGTTTCGTTTCTAGGTTGCTCCTCGCGAGCGCCGCAAGATGGAATACAACGAGTCACTTAAGGAGCGCTACCAACACCTTCGCGAAATTAGCCGTATCTCCAAGTACGTTGTGGCTGAAGTGTGGTTGCTCACGTAGGATTGCATCGGTGCGCTGTCTCACTAACAACTGGGTGTTGTGTCTTCTGCTCTGTTAATCGGAATTGCTAAACCGCAGGCACCGTCATGTCCCCAAGGCCATTAAAAAGGCTGCGCAGGCCAAACGCGAGGCAGGTGCGCGCGAGCAGAAAAAGATGGCAAACCGCCGCGCCCATGCCAAGGAGGGTGCCGTGCCCCACACCAACATTCGAGAAAAGGTCGTTGTCAAAGAAATGGAGTAGACCGTCGCTGGAAGATTGGCAGACGGGTCCAAATCAGGCCGACGTCGGATTGGGGACACTCTGGTCAGCTCCAGACGAGTGGAGGATCCACTAGCCTTGATGGTGATGCTGTTTGGTACAGTATAGTGCTTGCTGACTTGCTAGCTGCATGTGAGCGTGCCTTCTACTTTCCGTCCGTTACTTGTTGCTAATGCGCTTGAAGAAACGTTCGGATGTATATACACTAATACATACATGTATAGCCATGCATAACGAGCTAGAGTGAATCCGAACTGTTTGATAAGCATGAACAGCTTCTATGATTGTAGGTGGCGTGCGCGCCATCAGATCGTCCCTCTCAGCGCGGGAACTCCTCTCGCAAGATACCCCTCTCGCGGCTTGATGCTGGCGTGCCAAGTGTCGTGGTGGGTGGAGTCCGCCCGCCGTGCTGTCTTTGAGCATACAGAGTAGCATGTCGTTTGTATTCACGGCTACCGCTTGCATTGCCGTTCCAATACAAGATTGCAAGAGCGCGCTCGTCACTGATACGAAGCTCGACGGGAAGATTTTTGCAGGACTATTTCCCATTTCCACATACTCTTTCGTGCTTGATATCTTTTTTGAGATGTAGCAGGTCCGTTTGGCCGAAAGAGCGAGTGGTGACGCTCGTGCTCCATGTGCACTTCATCTTTTTTGTACACAGATGAGTCATTCCAATAGATTTTAATAAGTACATCCATGCTCGCCTTTAAACTTTCCATATTGCTTTCGACATCAACCAGTTGTGAAAACACGATGCAGTTGCAGATTTTATGGACGCTGGTACTTGAGCTGCGCATTTTGCACTTGACTACGTTTTTTTGCTGTCACTACAATAGAGAGAGAAGAGAGAACAGATTGTCTATTTACTGATTAGTGCAAGATCTCTGGTAGGTAATTAACCACACTAGCAACGCTGGAGGGTCCAGGAATTGCCTACGGCTGGCAGCACGTCTATGAACGCCGGACTGCCCTCTCGGTTCTGATATAAATATGTCGTAACATGCAGATAGTTGGGCTCCACGGACGGCTGTGGCCGCTCTGCAATGGAGACGTTTGATGAGCGCCCTCAGTTGGAGCTGAATCCTATTCCAGATCAAAGTTTCACTGGCTTGTATCGGAATAAGCGCATTGTTAAAAATCCTATCCACGCAAAGTTGCCAGAGCATTGTGATAATGACGGTCACTGCGACTTCCCAAATCGTCCTCCAGGCTGTGGCGAATAGATCAATGTCTTCCGGGTACCGGGCTAACAGCTTTGCTGTGACCTGCGGCGAGATGCGTGGTACGCTACAGTTTGCGCAGTGTTCGAGCCAATCCAGGAGGTGGGTAGGATGGTGAGGTGTACTCTCCCAATGACTGATAAGCCGGGCCCAGATTGCCTGAGCGCGGGGACATCCCCAAAAGAGATGCTCCTGGGTTTCCTTTTGGCCTACACATTCCAAATATGTGCATGATCCGTCCGGGGGTCTTGCTGTCACTACAATAACACCGTATACGTATATGACGTTTACCATATTATATTTATATATAGGATTTTCTAGCGCCAGCTGCTGGAAGACAAAGCCGAACATTTTCTGTACCATCTGTCTTTTTTGCCTTTGCCGAATTTCCTGTTCCGGTTTTGTAGCTGGGCGACAGACGGGTCAGAGGCAGCCGACTGACCATCACTCGTATGCGCAACACCCCCTCCATCTCCTCTCCCCCCGCGGCTCAAGCACGGTCTCACAACCGAAACCACGTTAAACCCCACAGGTGAAACGACCGTGTGTCAAGAAGAATAGGAAACAAAGTTAAATTAATGAAACCTAAGGCCCCTATTCACGACAACGTCAGGACGGCCTTGGAACTAGCCGAGTCTAGTGAATGGAGTGCGCTACATCGCCTTGTCACAGCACAAGCCGAGCGTGCTGATGACATGGATGACTTTGGCATGATGCCATTGCACTGGGCTTGCACGGACACGCACGTGCCGTTGCGTGTCGTTAAGAAACTCGTAGACGTGGCCCCGTCTGCTTTGAGTCATAAAAACAAAGGCGGTTTGCTACCACTGCACATTGCCGTTAAGGCAGCGACTAAATTAGAGGTACTGCGCACACTCGTGCAGGCAGCGCCTGACGTGGCCACGTGTCTTTTTGAAGAGACGCCAACGGGAGAGACGCCTGCTGAACTGGCTAGAGCGTATCAACTTACGGACGATAAAGTGAGCTTCTTAGTAGAGGAAGAGGCAAAGCTTCGAGCAGAAGGCAAGGCGCCGGACCGTCCGAGTGCTCGATTCCAAGCCTTTTTGAACCAACCAGGAGGCTTTCCTCTTTCATCGGACGACACGGCGAGTGTCAGCAGCGTAAGGAGGATTCCTTCTACGCTCGGAAGCAACAGGGGAGGAGCTACGATACTTGACGAATGGGCAAGCAGCAGAACGGCATCTAGCTCGTTTAGCAGTGCACTGAGACTACCCGATGGATTGGCAGATGTTCCGTTGCCACCACGTTGGCGATTGGATAAGAGATGCAACATTTGTCAGCTAAAGTTCAGCTACTTTAAGACACGCCATCATTGCCGCTCGTGTGGTGAGTCGGTGTGTAGCACGCACTCGAACAAACGTTATCCGCTACATCATTTGGGACTCAAGACCCCGCAGCGCGTATGTATCTTGTGCTACGATGATTTGCGGGAGAATGGTACACCCTCCGCAGTTGTTAACATGTATGGACATGGACGTCACAGTGGCTTGCCGTCGATAGAATCTAATATGATGCGAAAGGAATTAGCGCAACATCCTGACTACCAAAAAGGAGCAGGTCGACCGCCACTGCGTTCCATCAATAGCACCGTGTCGCTGACTGATACATCGTCAAGTAGTCGTGACTCGGCGCTCCAGTGCCAGTCGGATACCGACCACTACATACATAATTCGAACACTCCACACTGCGGTACTCTGGACAACAGACGCACAGAAGCCACCGACAACAGTGATGATCACAACCCAATTTTGACGACGGATTTGCCTTTTGAAGACGATTCTTGGGGTCGTCCACGTGCCTGGACAGACGTTGACTCAACTGAGAAATATCAGGACATGCAGGAGCAAGTGCGCGAGCTGGAGTCGCATGTGCACGAGCTTACGTTGGCTAAGTCTCGTATTGAAAAGAAACTTGAAGATGCAACCCGAATGGCTGCAGAGGCTAAGAAGGAGCGAAGCGCAGTGGATGCGGACGTAGCTGAGCTTCGCAGCAATCGGATTATTGATATTAATCGTCTTTCATTAGGTGACGACGAAGAAGACGAAGAGAACCAGGGGAAGACGGATGATTATGATATTGCGCAAGAGAAGAAGCGTGGGCTTTCGGTGCAAGTTGAAAAGAAGATTGAGTTGATCGAAGACAAGGAAGTGAACATTGCGGAGACATGCAATTACTTAGGACAGGTTTTCCTTGATCGCGAGGAGTATACTAGCGCTGTTGTGGAATTCCGCAAGTCAGTGGAGGCTAACCGAAAAGACGTGGACGCATGGATCAACCTGGCGCGCGCCCTCCACAGTGCTGGCGAGTTTTACGATGCGGAAATTGCTATCCGGCGCGCTTTGGCTTTGACTCCTGAAAATTACGCATCACTTTCGGTACTGGGCAAGATCCTACATTCAAAGGGAGAACATGACAGAGCTGTCGAGATGTTCCGTGAGGCGTTAAGCCTGATGGACCAGGAGGAAATGTCTGATGATGATGTCGGTTCGATGACCGTTGGCTGGTAAGCGACCGAGCGAGCCTCTTTGCTCTTTTTTTTGAGCATCACATCTGACCAGCATAGCGCTGAACCCGACACGACACGCTTGTAATTTAGAAAGAAGAGGCCGTTTGTCATTGAAGGCCTTCCAGCTGCGATAGTTCGTTGTTAGCGGTAGCAGCTACGGTAAAGGCAACTAAAAACACGTAAAGTAGGAACAATCGATTTCAAATGCTAGCAATAAAGTATGTCTGTAATCATGCTGGAGCTGTAAGAAATGGTATTCACACAAACGTTACGTTTACTCACATGTCAGAGAATGCTCCTCACTATCATCGCTTCGTTCTCGTTACCTAAGATACTTGAACATCAGAGGCAGCGACTTCATTTACGAACTAGGTATGTCGGCCTAATGGATGATCTTGGATGTACGAACATTTTGTTGCTTACAAGACATTCGCTTGAAGCAGCTCAAAATTAAAGTGTCGCAACGATCGCATACGTATGATCGCTAAAAGCTGGGCCTCAGCTCACGACTAGACATCATTGCTGAGAAGCAGCTCTAAAGATTACTCAGTTACTTCGTGTACTTGGTCTCAATGTTTTTTGCGAGTGAAATATATCAACACCAAGCTTGGTATGATTCGTGAAGTGACAACAAAAAGCTTGTCAGCGGCATTGAGGACTATTACAGCACCAACATGGAAACCCCGTTTTAAATATACTCCGTTTTATGAACCGGCCCATTGTCATGAGACTAGCATGAAGATAATGTCCAAGGAGTGCTGCACACCTTACAATTCGGAAGACTGTTTCCGAATTGGTAATTTTATGGTCAATGGGTGCTGTCATCGGAAAGGTAAAGCTGGATGTGACGAGTTCTGTGGCAAGGTAAAGAGTATGCACAAGATCGGACCTTGTACGCTACTGTAGCATGTGGAAATGCACACGAACCACGATCGACACTTTTTCTTAAAGTCGTTATTAATGTTCCCAGTGGACGAGCTCAATTACATTACGCCGGTGTCAATCGTGTCTGGGGTCATTTGACGCTGGCGACGGAATATGCACACCATAGACATGACAGGCTGCTTTTCTCGCAACAATAAGGGAGGCCATGTAGGACATCAATCGAGCAAACACAAACACTGGACTAGATACGTATGATAAAAATAGACCTACTTGCATCAGTATTCCTTGTCATTTTGGTCTCCATTTTTTCGTAGACGTCAGCGCATTTACAGTGTTCAAGATTCAAAATATTTTCTACACCACACCATCATCCATATCGATGGGAGCCGAGCGTGCAGGAGACAAAAGCACTGATCGTGGAGCTGCAGCGACTGAATCCAACGCTCTACCTCCTTCATTCAAATCCAGCTCAGCTACCTCTTGCGTCATGTGGCTAGCACTTGGTGGCGAATCGAAGGTCATCAGGTCCTTACTCTTGGTTTTGCTGCACTCCTCCAGAGTCTTCATTAAATTATCATTCACGTTAAGACACTGTTCCAGCGTATGTTCGTCGATCTTGCCCATAACTCCTCCTTCAATTAGCGTGTTCATTCTTGGCTGACATTGCCGTAAGAAATCCAGGACATCTTCCAACTGCTCGCCAGTTTGTCCACAAGTGTGCATGTCCCTCATTAGCTTGATCTTTTGCTGCACTAGCTTCAAGTCATCTTGAAGCTTCTCCAACTGTTTCTTTCTCGTGCATCTCTCAGAAACAACAGCTGGGTAACTCTCGTCCTGTCCAGTAGCAGCAAAAGCCGACGCTGTGGACGACGGGGGCGTAAAAATAGGAACGTCATTCTCCACCTCTGGAAATCTCACACCCTGCATTTTTAGTTGCCTATATATATCTTCAAAAGCTTGTAGTTCACTGCCTTTAAAGGCATCGGCCCACTGGCGGATCAATAGTAGCGCTTGATTCTGCACGTCAATGCCCAAACTTCCATCGGACAATGCCGCCACTTCTTTCAAAAAGAATGTAGAGCCCACTTGGCTGTGAAGTGCACGTGGTCCGTTCTTTACGACCGTTTCCGTCAAAATCAGCGTCAGCAACGTCACCTTCGGCTCACCACTTTGCAGACGACACTGCAACAAACGCACAATGTCGTCGCACACGGTGAGATGTGCATTAGCACAGTCACATATTTCCATGTTAAGTGCCCATTCTGGCTCTACAAGCGCTTCATCCGTCGCACGAGCCACCAGCTCCTCCACCTGCTTCACTTCCTGTGCATACTCGGACATAATTTGTGGAAAATGGTGTGGAGCACATGTGGAGTAATAAATATTTTGTACTTTTCTCAGACAATACAAATACTTGTCAAAAGTAATACCCATCAAGTTAAAAGACTCTATCAGTTAGGGCAAGTTGTCCGATATAGGAATATCATTACCGAATTTTATTTAGTATAGAATCGCTCAAGACTTTTTTGTATGTTAACTTATAACATAAAATTACTATTAGGTGATATAAAATTATAATTTATAGGATTTTTAAGTACATAGCTTATACTTTTTATATTGTAGTAAAAATAAGCATATGTATTACGTATGCTTATTTTTACTACAATATAAAATTTGAATGATAATGTAATTAATTACCGTGTAAAATAATTATAGGTTTATAATTATATTACACATGTTTTTTTACGATTTTTAAAAATATAATAGCAGTTCTCTATAGATATTAAAATTGTACTAATGTAAGAAACATTTTCTTAATCAATTATCTACTTTTTCAATATTGAACATTGACTGACTTGTGTTACCTCGGACTTGTCAGACTGATGCGGATATGTGATCTCTTGTGGATTTACATACCGTTTCAGGCGAGCCACGTAACATACGAAGTGCGTCTTCATGTATGATGGGAGAGCGTATGCGTTGTAGAAGGCAAATTGGATTCTGGCATTCATTACACAGCTCTCCGCTCTCGCTATCTGTCGGTCTTTCTCGCTCACTAGCTCTTCACGACCACTCATGCAGCCTTCTCACTGCGCTCGCACCATACGATCCAACAGGCACGCGATCCTTCCATTCGTCGCGACTGCTCACGTCACGCCATCGCGACTACTCACTCTCGGCGTCGCACACGCCATCGCGACTGCTGCCGTATGTCGTCTGCTTCTCTCTTCTCGCTGCATACTGGAACTCAGTGTGCCCGATACTGACCGTTCGCATCTTCAATGCAACTCTTGCGATCATGCATTCACACAGAGTGACTTCTTTCAACACTTCTCCTCGGGCAACTGTGAGATTGTCTCACCTCTTGGCGTACTAGCCGACACATAGCAGCCCTCGTAGTCGACCACCTTGGTGATCAAGTCTGCCAGCATGAATTCTGAGCGCACATGCTTAGCCTCGATCACGCCGCGACGAGTGTATTCACAGAGAAACTTCAATCGGACGTCGATGTGTTTCGCTTTAGCTAATGTCGCTTCGCCATTGATCTGGCAAATGGCGGCCTGATTGTCGATGCGTATCGGCATTAAAAGTTCTGGTTCCATGCCGATCTCACGCAGTAAGATCTCGAGGTGCGGCTCCTTCGACGCTTTGACACACGCATTCGGTATGGCACAGTCCCGTGACACACGACCTCGAGGACATGGATAACTGCACGCCGGAGTCACGAACATCCAATGTTTGGCGACTGACACTCAGGCTGGCAGGATGTCCGGAATTTCTGCGAGGAATTGTTCGATTGGATTGGATAGGTACGACTATCATCCTCAAGCATCCCCATGTTGGCCGGAGACTTCAATGCTTCAGATGTGGAAATATTGGCCACATATTGGCAAGATGTGGATATACAGACGGGCAATTGAGGGGACCAGGTTGTTTGATAGTCACAGAGCAGGAAATGGTTACGTTGGATGATGTAGCCAAGCCGTTTGCCAACTTTGAGGAAATGAAGGCAGCGGCGGCCACCAGAAGACACATTCATCAAGAGACGGCGGAGATTTTAAAAAACGGGCTTCAACCTCTGCCAACGGCGGAGGACCGTACCGACTTCGATCCAGCAGGAGGCGCGGAGGCGTCCTCACCGCCGATATCCATTGACGACAATATTACCGGAGTTACAGCTTCCGTCCCCACGGACGCACCACCACAACCGAAGCCTAAAGCCACATGGATCACAGTACCATTAAGGGCTGGACGACGGCGCTTTGAATACAAGAACAAGCCAGCACGGAAATACGCCGAGGTTTCAACTCGATATGACGCACTTTCCGGGAAGGAGACTGAAGCAGTGGTAGATGATTAACAGGAGATGCAGGGGCTCCGGGGAGAGGAGTCCGAAATTATTGAGGTGTCGGTTACAGAGGCGATCACGGAGACACCGGTCCTGACACCAACGGATATGTCACAATTACGATTCCTCAAGAAGAATCCACCGCCAATTCTAGCGGAGCCCCAATTAATGGGGCTTTTACAGAGGGAACGATCACATCTGCTTGGCCTCATCGCGCCCTCACAGACGGAAAGACAACCGCTGGTCAAGTAATTTAGCCGATTGACACCGCTTTCCGGGCCGTCGACGACATGGCCGGGCAGCTCCAGCTTCGAGCAGTCACAACACCGGCAAAAGGCAACTGCATGGCGATGGCCATTGTGCAAGCGTTATGTGATACAGACTTAGCGGCACAGGACACCCAGCTGGCTGCAGCGACGGGAAGCCTTAAACGAGGAATCAAGCATTCAGGACAGCTTCATCTTGGGGAGCAATTTCCGCATGACACACGAGTATCCACACTTATAGCAGTGTAACGAGGATGGACGGACATGGAGCCATTAGCGTCGAAGAAGCAATTCAAATGGTACCTGGAGGAATACGGCAAGAGTCCGTCGGAGAGGAACGCAAAAGTTCACGTCCACAATTGGGGTGGATGTGAAACGCTCTGCATGGCGGCTAATTTTCTTCGCAGATACATTTACGTCATTGCCAAGGGTGGGGAAGGTAGTGATGACTGGCAATGCAGCCTGTACAGGCCGAGTTCCATGAGTCGAAACAACAAAATTATCGAGACAGGCGAACAACTGATACTAACGGCGGCGGAATGTGGCCGACGCATTGCCCAGGACAAGCCGGTCAATCGCCTTTAGTGTTACACTACGAAGGACGTCATTACTCGGCATTCATTCACCAGAGGACTACACTTAAAACCACCGATTCAGGCTCGGCCACCAGAACAGGTTCACAAAAACTTAGCGCATCCAGTACTTCGGACGTGGCCATGACTGACGTCGGGGAGGAGCAACTGACGGAAAAGAAGGCGCAAGCTACGACGTTACGGATGAGAGTATGAGCGTGGGTCCCTTTGACCCCTGGAATGTGGAACTGGGAGACGGACATCTGGACGTGCTGCATGAGCGCTGTCAGGAACTAGCCGTCCCGCATTAGCTCAAACTAGACATTCATCAGATTCTGCAAAGCGATAATCCAGAGCGATTCCGCGATTTGCTAACTTTTCTCACGTCTACAGTACCGGACATCTCGCACAACGACCAAGAACGATCAGCAATAACGGATATTACGGATGCCACCAACATTGATGTCATCCAGCTGCAACAGCAGCATCATTTCGAACCATGTATCTTGCAACAGTGGCGAACTCTCCGTCACGAGAATGATCTGCATCAGCCAGAGAATAACCGGGGAGCACAGGAAAAACAACAAGATATTTTGCCCTGGAGTCACGGTTGCCACGGTGTCCGTGACGCGAGACCAGATCAAAGCAAGGATCACGAAATTAGTGGTCAGTCACAGCTAGTCGTTCATGTTCCACAAACGCCCAATCGTTTCAAGCCAAACAAACGGGCACGGCCAACTACACCGGACGATACGGAGAGGCAGAAGGGTCAAACCAAAAATAAGCACACCGCACTAGTGCTCAAGAAAGGTAAGGGCAATGCGGGAGGCAAGGCAGTGCTAACTCGCCCGGAGATTCCTCTGCTTACGAATGGACCCTGGCAGGAAATGTGGCAATCATGGAGCGAGACGTGGCATTCAGCTTCTGGGGTACAGTTTCCAATCCTTGACAGCAGCAATGAGCAGTGGCGCCGTGCAGTGCTTGCAGAACCGGTCAAGCTGATGCAGCTGCACCAACACTCTCCCTTCCAGCATAACCTTCTCAATGCGCTAAGCGACGAGGTCTTAATAGCCTGGACGGCTGCGTGGAGACAGGACTGCATGTATCAGGGGCTCATGGAGTATCGAAATCAGACAACCGACCACCCAACACAAGTGTGGCTCGACGACTGGAAAGCACGAACGACTGGAAAGCACGAACGACTAGCCTATCAGGTAGTGCACTTTTAGCGCCGCTGATCGACAACAGGGATGACTGGGACAAATTACGGGAACGCGGGTATGGCAGTGACGACCTCTTACGCCGCTGTGACGTTGCAAAAAAGCAGTTTTGCATGGCATACTATCTGCGCTATCCTACACAATGTAGATATCAAAGCCTTGACAGGAAAACCGGCTGAGGCGGATGAAGCGGTACCTGACAGGATCAGGCGCCATTTAGAGGCAAGCCGGTCGCACGGTGATTATCGACGAGCCTTCCAGGACGCCTCTACCTTGCAGGATTGGAGCGTGCTTCACGCATTTTTCGCGACATCCCTCGCACACGAGTCCGCCCAACGGACTTTTCAATACTGAGGGCACCGAGGCGGACGCCTGGTGTATTGAGCCTACAGCTGCGGAGCTTGGACGGGACGCGTATACGAAACACCTTAATGTCAAGGAGCTCTTCGCTCCCGATGCCTCTCCCGTCGCCAAACAAACGGACGGACGGGGGACAGGAATGTACCATTCACAAAATGTCCGGGGTTTTAAACGGGTGGACCGGCACAAATGAATGAGCGGTTGGAAGGTACAAAGTAAAAGAATCAATACCATTGCGTGGGGTTTACAAGAGACACACATTGATTCGGAGAGCGCGGCCCAAGAGGCAGCAGACTCGTGGATAACCAACTGGGGTGCGCAACATTCGGACTGCCACACGGAATTATCATACTGGAGCGTTAGCGCCGATAAGACCGGGGGTGTGGCCATCCTACTCGACAACAAGTGTGCCAACGGTGGCACCCGGAGCTGTGGTCTAAACGGGTGATAGCAGTCATCGTCGACTCCATCTTGCTTGTCAACGTATATGCTCCTAATGACAGAGAGGAGAGGGACGTCTATTCCGTCTCATGCGGGAATTGCCATGGCCTCAAGTAGAGGTGGTGCTCTTTGGCAATTTTAATTGTGTCCAGAGTCCCCATCTCGACAGATTGGGAGGTTTGCGGTCGGGACGTCCCGAAAGCCCGGAGTTAGAGAGTTTACTTCAAGCTTTAGGACTCGAAGACGCTCAGACTTTGGCGGCATCGGCAATGGAGGACGAAGTACCGGAGCCGGTAGATTACTACACATTTTGGAATGCACGGTCGTCCAGAAGGATTGATCGATTCTATGTAGGCAGCTTGTGGAAGCGGTCGTCCAGAAGGTTCAAGTACAACTGTCTGTGTTTCATTTTGACCATCAAATAATTATCTTGCATGTTGCGGTCGGTGGACCGCGACGGAACCAGAGAAATAAAACTTAGCCCTTTCACTAATACACTTATACGCAGACGCCAGCGCGAGTCCACGACGAGCTCTTAGCGGAGTTAATAGGTCGGGAGGTCGGACGGGAAGTCAACACGAGGACATGGTGCTCGCTTGCCATGATGCAAGCTGTAGAGAGGAAGTCGGCGGCACTGTGATAAAAGGATTCTGACATTGTTTGTAGTGTTATCTTTTTCGTGCTAGCATGATGGACTAGTTGTTCTTGTTCTCCATCACTCTTGTCCAATCAATCACCCATCCACGCACCTGTCCAATCAATCACTCAACTGATCCTCAAACGCCTTTCTAAGTCGTCAGCCGTTTCCTCAACTGTAACTTTAACCGTGCCTTTTTCTAACACTCCTCCTCGGCTACGACTTACCGTCCTAACCGAGGCTGATCATCTCACACAGCGCCGCGAGCTTGACTGCATTCAGCGCCTTCGTCAAAAGATCCGCGAGTTGTTGCTCCGAGAGGACGTACTGCGACACGATGATCCCGCGTCGAGCGAAGTCGCACACGAACTTCGTGCGAACATCGATGTGCTTGGCCTTGAGAGATGACACCTCTCCTACCAGCTGCTTCAGTGCCGCCTGATTGTCGACGTGGAGTACCATCGGTAGCGCCGGCGGCTTACCGATCTCGGTTAGCATCTCCCTGATACCAAGAAGCTTGCGCGCCTGCTCCGATGCAGCGACGAACTCCACTTCCATCGTCGAGAGCGAGACGCCGCCTTGCTTCTTCGACGTCCAGCTGACCGGCATGCCGTTCAGGCGGATGATGCCGCCAGTCAAGGACTTCCTGTCACTCTTTTCCGCCGCAAAGTCGGCGTCCGAGTACGCCTCGAGCTGGATCTTGCCGTCGAGGTGCTTTGCTGGTTCCATCCGAAGCTTGTAGTCACGCGTCTCCTTCAGGTACCGCGCGATGCGTTTGGCAAGCTTCATATCGTGGAGTCGCGGCTGATGAGTCTGACGCGTCGCCTTGTGCACGGCGAACGCAATGTCCGTCCGTGTGCAACGCGCGATCCACAGAAGACTGCCGACAGGGACTGGAACGTCTTGATTGTTGGCGCCTTCTGCACCTTAGTCTCGGTGAGCAGCGCGCTGTCATCTGGTAGCACGTCGTAGCAGTCAGCCCCAATTGGTGCTTTAGTCGTGTTTGCATCCTCGAGCCCATGCTCACGCAGGAGCTCGCCGATCGCCTCGGCCTGGTCTAGCACGTAGCCGCCACTGTTATCAATCGTGACACGCATGCCGAGGAACTTGCTAACGGTACCGAGGTCCTTGATCGACAAGCTACCGAGCTTGACGAAGAATCGGTCGAAGGCTGCAGCTTCCGCGCCGGTAGCAAGTAGATCGTCGACGTAGACGCCCACGATGACCAACTGTTCACCCTCGACTAGGTAGTATAGACACATGTCGGAAATACATTACCGGAAGCCGGCTTTAAGCAGCCGAGCGTGCAGGAGCTGGCTCCAGAGTCGGCCAGCCTGATTGAGGCCGTACAGGCTCTTTCGTAGCTGCAGCACTACTTCCTTCTTTGTCGCTGCGCCTACCATCTTGAGCGCGTCTTGATCGATTGTCATTGACTGCGGTACCTGGAGTAGTAACTCCAAGTGCGCTTCCTTTTCAGCCTTGACATACGCGTTGGGGATGTTGCCATGCTTTGCTGGGACACCCCATTTCGCCGCAAGCGACAAGATCACCTTCACGGTCGACATGTCCATGACAGCCGCGAATGTAAGCTGGTAGTCGATCCTCCAAGCGCTCTATCTCACCGTGCGCGTCGGTCTTGGTCTTGAAGACCCACTTCGTGTGCAGAGTGCTGCTGCCCGGAGGTCGCTTGATCAAGCGCCACACGCCATTGTCTTCTAGGGCTTGGAGCTCTTCGCGCATGGCCTTTTCCCAACCTTCACGCTTAGTGCTGCGTAGCGCTTCACTGTAGTTCTTGGTATCGCACTCATATACATGAGCCACCACGCTGTCGTCGCCAGCTGACTCCTCCTGATCGGCGGCCGCCTGTGCGCGTTTGGTTGCGCCGCGCGTCCGGTGAGCCGCGCGTGTCCACGACTTCTATTTCTTCTTGCCGCTGCGTATCGTCGGCGATGCGGCATCAGCAGCCGGCGACTCTTTGCTTGTTGTTGCTGTTGCCGCTGGCTCCACGGCTCGATCTTCATACTCGAGCGCGCTGCAGCTGACCATTCTGCTCTGCGCTGAGCGTCTCGACGTTGCGCACATGCTGCGTGATCGTGACCTTGTTCTCCTTTTGGAGGAAGACGCGAAAGCCCTTAGTCTCGTCGCTCCGCCCAATGATCACGCCGACTTGTGCGCGCTGCGCGAGCGAGTTCTTGCCTGGGTGACGGTAGACCGAGCAGATAGAGCCAAAGGCGACGATGTCGCGCAGATCCGGCACTTGCTTCGTCAGTACCTCGATCGGCGACGCGCGCTTCGCATTCGCGCTCGTTGGGCTGCGGTTGAGGATGTACGCCGCGTACTCAACCGCATCGCCCCAAAACGTCAATGGCAGTCGGCTGGTAAAGATCATGCTGCGCGCCATGTTCAGGATCTTCCTGTGCATGCGCTCGGCCTTTCCGTTTGACGACTGATTCCTCGCCTCGCTGATCTGCCGCGCGACGCCCGTTGGCTTGCAGAAGAGGTCGACATTCGCGTATTCGCCGCCGCCATCAGTGCGTAGCACGTGGATCCGGCAGTCGAACTGGCGCTCAAAGAGCGCGAGGAAGTGCTCAAACTTCTTGGCCGCCTTGTCCTTTGTAGGCGCCAGGAAGACGCGACAGTAGTTCGACTTGTGATCGACAAAGTTGACAAGGTAACGATTGTGCAATCGATCCTTCGGGGTCATCGGACCCTTGAGGTCTGAGCAGATCACCCCGCCAACTCTGTCGATCGGCTAGTTTGATCCAGTGTCCTTCTTCGACTGCACGTTCCTTGTTTGCTTGCCCTGTGCGCAAGAGATGCACGTCGGGCGCTTGCGATCCGTTAGCACGATGCCGGGCGCGGGGTCTCTCGCCATACGCTCGACGGTGTCGTACGCGAGATGCCCAAGCCTTTGGTGGAAGTGCAGCAGCGAGCCACTTTGCGTGTCCGACTCGGGTTCTTCCGGAGCTGCCTGGCTCGTCAGGATCGCCATGAGCACGTCGCTAGGCGCTCGTCGCTCGCGAGTCTGCGAATGTCTGGACGTAGAGCACATTGTGGTCCATCGCCACATCGAACGCGACTTGGCCATTGCTGTGTCGTGCCAATGCGCGCGACTCGCCGTCGTAGACGAGCCTGAAACCCTTGATCTCGAGCTTACCGTAGGACATGATGTTGCGCAATAACTCGGGCGATAGATACACGTCCGTCAGCGTCACATCTTGCTGCTGTCCTCTCGCGAGCACAGTCAGCACGACGCTTCCGACTTGCGTTAACTTGATGGTCTCCCCATCTGCTAAGTGGCACTCTTGATCGCAGTCCCTCGCGTTGCGCAGCAGGGATGCGTCGTTCACAAGGTGGCAGCTGGAACCGCTATCGAGTATCCAGTCGTCATCTTCGTCATCGCTGTCGTCACCAATCGCCATCGCCAGGCTTTGCCCGGTGGCGCGCGAGCCGTTGCGACCTCTTTCTTCACCAACAGCTAGCGTGATGCTGCCGCCGTCTCTTGGGCCTCTGCCCCTCTTCCTGTCGTCATTCTTCTTGCTGCGACAGTCCTTCTTCAGATGGCCGACCTTCCCACACCCGTGGCAAGTGCGTGTCTCCTTGCGCGACGCGGACTCTTCCAAGTGCGCGACGACCTCCTTCCCGAAGGATCTTCCTGATCTAGCTTCCATCTCGATTGCTTGCGCGAAGTGCGCGAGCTCTTCCGTGTGCACGAGGTAGTCGATGCGGTGCGTCTGGTACTTCGCCATGAGTATTGTCGACAGCTCAGACGAGGCGTAGCGCACGATGTTGTCCAGAACCTGCTGCTCAGCGCCGCCCGTAGCGTCGCTGACAGCGCCCAGATACAAGTAGTGTTCTGGCCAGGATCTCTTTCTTCGCCGTGAAGAGTTTCATCGCTTGAGCGGCGGTTATCGTCGTCTTGAACGTGTCCAGCATGCGCTGCATCACGTACTGCAATGTAGGCAGCACGGCCCACCACGTGTCGACCTGCTTGCTGAAATACCGCTCGGCAGTGCCAGTGAGGTACTTCCCGAGCACGTCAGTCTTCACATTCTCGCTACACAGGAAACCGCAAGACTCCTGTGCCATGTCGACCTGGCGCCAAAACGTCTTGCCCCAGTCGAAGAAGCCGGAGCCGAGTCCAACGTACACCTCAGTGCCATCGAACTTGCTGATCGCCAGCTTGCGCTGCCTGGCATACGGAGTGCGATACTGCATCGGCATCACTTGTTGCCGCTGCTGTACTGGCTGCTCTGGAGCTGCCGGCATCGTCTGAGGCACTGGTGGCGGCTGGTCTGGTGGCAATGGGGCAGGCGACTGAGGCAACGGATCAGCACGCTGCTGCAGCTGCTCTCTCGCTCGCATCCGTAGGTCTTCGAGCCGCGCTGGTGCACGCCGCAGTTGCTGCTGAGACAGCAGATCGTGCAAGTCCTCAAACTCCATTGCTCCGCCGTGGAGTCGCCCTGCGAAGTCCGCCCCGAGCTCTGATCGAAAACAGCTCGCTCTCGTGAGCGCCACGCATGCGCTCGTCTTCGTCCATGCGTGCTTGGGACGCTTCCATCTTCTGCATTCGCAAGTCCATGCCCGTGAGCATCTTGAGGACCCTCTCCAGTGCGTCAGGATCCGGGCTCCTTGCGTGAGCGGTGGGAGAGACGACCGTAGCAGGCGCGGCCGCGGCCCTTTCGTGACCGGTTGCCGGCGGCGCCTGTGCCGCGTTGGTGTCGTCGTTTGCTTCCCGTCTTGGGCTCATAACCTGTTCGCTTGCCATGATGCAAGCTGTAGAGAGGA